CTCTTAATTCAGTAAAGTCAGCGACTGTCTGTAATATAGTCAGCGCTTAACCTGAAACATAGTATATACTTAATAACTTCTGTTGAAGCAATGAAAGAATGAATTCTCTTCTTGTTCTCAGCTGCCAGGCAGCTAATACGTACTCCAACCAGTTTGCTGATAAAATGCCAGTTAGCTGACATTCTAGGAAGTCAAGTCTTAAGTCAGAGGTAATGTGGCACAAACACTTTATGTATTACAGTAACAAAATTTCCCTGGATCAGCCCTGCACCCACTTAAAACTTTGTGGTCTAAGACTCACTGACTGTCTGAAATGGGGCTGCCAGAGAGGAGAAAAGCTCTGACTCAGGTTCCCCCAAAATTCAACAAAGGAGAGATGCTCTCTACTCCCACTAGTCTACAAAGGCCTACCAAGTTTGTCTGTGGATGCCACCATGAACATGTTTGTTCATTTCTGCATTTGGAGGAATGTGGATTACAGCATCCTAAACTGGGATCAGCAAACATCGGATTCAACATTCAGAAGGGTGGAATATATTTGATTTTGATTTAGAAATAGCAATGAGTCATCTTAACCAAATATTTCTGACAAATAATTCCATCTAACTAATTAAAGGAGAAAGATATTTTGAGAGTTTGCAACTAATTTTAAGACACTAAGGTTAGTACCTCTTGGGACCAAGTATCCTACTACGGATTGCTAATAAGTAACAATTCCTGCCACTGTCCTTTTCTCAGGTTCCCACAATTCTACATTTTGCAAGTTAAACCATGCTTTCTTACTTTCTTGTACATTAGAATTTTAGATGTGCAATATTTTAAAAACAATTCTTTCTTGGCTTGGCTGTGCTTGTCCCTGGCTACAGCTGGAAAATCCCAGACAGTGTTTTGAGTCATGTTGCACATCCTAACAATAGATATGCCATATTGAAACAGCCCTGAGGAGGGATGGCAGAGGTCTGAAAACATGGGATCAGCCTAGACTATGCTAGAGAAGACTGTGTAGCCTCTAGGCTTCAGGGTGTACACAGAGCCCAAGCCACCTCAAGGCCAGCACAGGTGAATTATCATTCAAGACTTGCATGGCTGTATACCAGGGTAGGCTAGAGAGAAAAGGGTAGAAAGCTGCAAGCAAGCCCAGAAGTTGTTATATTAAGCCACACATTCAGAAATTTTTCACAAACCCCCTACTGTGTGTACAAAATTGGTAGGGATAAGTCAAGAGGAGAGCAGATTTTAGTAGAGCCTAGCTGGTTGCCATTACAGTTCCAACCTAGAACCGACACAACAGGAATCCAAGTGAAGAGACTAAGTGAACAAGGGTCAGGAAATGAAGCAGATGTGTGCATAAGGGAAAAGGAATGAAAGAATAGGTACTAAATGACTTCTTCAAGGGTGAAACTTGGCAAGAAGTCAAGTTAAGAATAAGGTAGGAGCACATAATAGGATTCTTGCGTAGGGCATACCTTAGTGTAGTCCACAGATGGAGACAAGCAAGCACACCTGGCTAATGTGGGGAAGGACACACATTGTGACAGGGTGATTAGCCTGAATGCTAGCTTACAAGACGTTTCATTTCACCAGTTAGAAGCCCTCACAGGGGTGTCCAACCTGTGCTATGAATGCAGCCCAACACAAGATTGTAAATTTACTTAAAACATTATGAGATTGTTTTGTTTTCATTAGTGTTTGTGTATTTAATGTTTGGACCAAGACAACTCTTCTTCCAATGTGGCCCAGAGACACCAAAAGGTTGGACATCTCTGCAAGGCTTAGAGGTTCACTATTTTTTTTTTTTGCAATTTCCAAGTCCAGCTTCAATATATGATAAAACATAAGTTCATTATAGAAATATTAGAAAATTCTGGTAAACAAAAAGAAGAAAATAAAATTCTGTGTAATCCCATCATTCATAGTTCAACATTTTTGGCTTATATTTTATACATTGAAATACTCCTTTCTTATGGATCCTTAAATGTTACATGTGCCTTCCCACTTCATTTAGTTTGGAATAGTTTCCTGAATATAATTTTTAAAATTTTTCTGTTTAGTCAACACAGGTTCTCCACAGTAATCTGAACATGTTGGGTTTTATGGCCTTTTATAAAGCAGATTTTTAAAAGGCAGTATTCTTTAATGGTTTCTTTATAGAATTTTTGTGAAATTCACAACCTTTCAGAACAGAGTGGCTTCCAATGTGCTCACATTCCTGCTGGGCATCATAGTGAGCACTCTATAAATGGAGTAAAAGTGATTTTAGGAAAAAAGAGACAGGAATAGAGAGCAAGTGAGGAAAGGGAGGCTAAAGAAAAGACATTAAAGTAATAAGCAGAAGGAGAGAAAAGTGACTAAACAGTACATTCAAAAGGTGAGAAAAGATGATAAAAAATAGTGAATATGAAAAAAAGAGTGAATCAAAGGAACAAGTTTTTAAAGAAAAAATATAAGAATACAAATTCTAATTCAAAATTTACAATCAACTTTTGTTACCACAGTGCCTAGAATATGCTAGTAGCTCTCTAAATATGTGTTAATGTTAGTTAATAAATATTTTTAAAATAAAATAATAAAGTCATAATTTCCCCCCCAAAAAAAGGAACAAGTTTTGGGTCTACCGTTTATGTCTTTCTTGTTCTTCATATACCTAGCTATTCATTTTCCCTTTATATTTAAAGACAACCTAGTGTAATAAAATGAGCTCAGTACTGGAGGTAAGCAGACCTGGGTTCCAGTCCCAGTTCTGTTATTAATCTACTGAAACACCCTGGGCAAGTTTCCTTCCTGTCTGACTATAAATCTCCCACTCATAAAATGAAGGGCTTGGAGTTTGTGACATGTAATGGTCTCTGCTGTGTCCTGAATGTCTCATATTGCTAGATATAAACAGTATATTTTATCAATGTGAAGTTTAAAAAAATTCCAACTACCATTTGGAATCTGGTTGTGCATCATGTGCACCACATGGATTTAATACTAAAGCATTACGTGGAAACAATTATAATTGTTTTAATTACCCAGAGAAGCTAGTAATTTCGACAAGACATAGGAGCACTGTCTTGACAATGCTATTATTATACTGTCACTTTTCAAACAGCCTTTCCAATATAGGCATGGTAATTTCAATGTCCCAGGAGTAGGGGCAAGATTGCTACTAAGGTGGTAACATTGTTTTTCCTTTTTTCCCCCCTTAGTATGAAGAATAATTCTGAGCAATGAAAGTCTCTTAGACACCATCCAACAAAGAGTATAAATCAGATGCAACCTGTCCAGGCCATTGGCAGGTTGCACCTACAAAAGGCCTCAGGCAATGACAAATCATTCCCTTATAGATTTGAAAAAGTGTCTGCCAGAAAGAATTGTTTATCAGGAACTAGACTAGTTCTCTGATTCCAGAGTTCTCCTCTGGACTTAGTTTAGTCAGTATTAGCATGATGGTGGGTAAAGAGGATGGTGGTCAGGCAGCTGCTCAGTTTGATTCCCCAGAACCCTCTTAGGATAGTCACGTGGGCTGGAAAGCTTTCTGAGCAGTTAATCCTGAGCAACTTTAAGCCTTACATCTATCACACATGCAATATTTTGAACTGATCTGTGTTTTCAGAAATAAAATAAAAGCCAGTTGCAATTTGGTGTGGATTTCACATGTGCACAAGCAACTACAAGGGTTGGTCTCTCTGCTGACTACCACCGTGAAATCTTAAGTATCCAGTTAAATTGTGCTTCCTTTCAGGGTTTATTGTCCAGTCCTATGGACTCTGGGGGAAAGTGCCTCAGTTGACTTTCTACTTAGGCTTTCTTCTTTCATGTATTTAACTGCACCTTGCTCTCCACCAGATGCTAAAAACCTAGACTGCCTGCAGAGAGGGTTCCATTTAAGAATAAACTTCTGCTACCTGGTAATTAGTCTCTCACCACTCTCAGCATTTCTCTTTTTACCAGGAGTTCAACTTCCCCAGAAGGTTACAATTTGGCCAACAATTTCTTCTGCCCTGCCCTGTCCTGCCCTGCCCTGAAGGAGCTCAGTTTCCTAGTTCCCTGGGTAGTTTACCGAGTAAAAACTGAAATCATGTTCAACTTCTTCCTGAGAAAGCTGGTTGCATCTGACTACATTGGTAAATGTGTAAAATATGTGCCCTATTTTTTGCAATGTCAGGATATTTATATTTTTTAATGAAAAGTAAAGAAGTCCTTTAACAGGAATAGTTCAGGATTAAATCCCTAAGAGAGTCTCAAATTTGTGGAAGTAGCCTGTAAATGATAGGCAAGGAGAAAGGCTTAAAAGGCTTTGTGTGGTTGTGAACTCTCTGTATAAATGAGGTGCATGTGTATTGTTGTTTATAAACGGTGAGATAGATTGCGGTGAAGGAGTATATACCAAGTTGCAGAACATATTTCCCTACAATGATGAAGTTAAATCAGGGTCACCAAAAACATGCTTAGCCTGGAACTGCACCAAATGGTACCAAAAATGCAGAAATACATCTAGGCTTCCTATTTTACTGAACAAAAGTCATATCCTCTCACTAGACTGTTGTGCTTGGTTCTACATTCCAAAATGCTATTTAGAGTTCAGGATAGGACAAGTAAAATAAGAAACAGAAATTAGCCTTCAGGGCATCTAGGGAAGGACTAGTTCACAACTGTCTCTATAAAAATGCTGAGTGGTAATGTGGATGGAACTGATTGTGGACCAGTGCCAGAGTGGGTGATTGGAGTAAGTTGCAAGTGGGAAGCTATCAGATGTATCATAAAATACCAGAAAGAAAATTCTAGGTGGGTGGCTTTTAATGGAATCAGTGACACATCGGTGATGGGGTGTCAAACATTTTATACATTTATGTTAGCAGAAAGTTTTGGATAAGGCAGGCTGTGAATTTCTTTCCACACTGGCACAAAGGGTAGGGAGTGTAAAAGGAGGAGCTCAAATATGTGCAGACATTGGTGAAGAATGTTCCAAGTACTTCCACTATAGGATAGGCTGATATAGAAAGAAAACATCAAGGATGAGGTAAATGGTGCAAAAAGGTGAATAAAAGCCAGTAAAATATAGACTAAGTTCACCTATAATGTGTGCAAGTGACCTTGGCCAAAACAAAAGGGAAGCAAGCAAAGAGAATATCAGGATTTCCAGGCCTACTCCTCTCCCTGAACTGCCTAAGTCCAATTGCACTTACTATGGAGATGGGTCTCACATTTCACATCTCATTATCACTACCATAGTCCACACTGCTATCTTCTCTCAACTGAACTGCTGCAGTAGCCCCACCTAATCCATCCATCACCTATCTTGCCCCATTCTCCACCCAATCCTTACAGACTTGTCTATTGGTGTGGCCCACAAAGCAGCAGCATCAATCTTACCTGGGAGCTTGGAAAAACTACATATTCTCAGGCCCCATCCCCATTTATTGAATCTGAATTTGGGCACCACTTTAACAAGATGCCCAGTTGATTCACATGCACTTTACAGTTTTGGAGGCCCTGCCTAGATAGAGTTTCTAGAACACAGCTTTGACCATGGAAATTCTGTGCTTAAAATCATTCTGCTACCCCCACCCCAAACACTGCCTTCAGGTATATGGCTTTATCTGGCACAAAAGGCCTGTCTCGCTATGGCCCTTCCCTACTTTTTCAGTCCCTGTATCTCTCTTGTTGCTTTAGGGATGCTACGTTGCTTGTAGTTTCCTTGTTCACACTAGGTTTTCTAATTTCTTCTGCCTCTGACACTCTTCTACACTCTTCTTCACTTAGCTTAATTTCTTGGATTAGGTGCCCCCTTTGTTTGGAATCCATTGTGCCAATGAGTTCCACAGCAAGGTGCCACAGGAAAGGCTGCAAAATATTTCTGGGTTAAGTGCCCTTTGGATGGGATCTCATATTATCCCATATATGTATGCTTCTGCAAGGGCACTTAGTCCCAACTACTGCAATTATCTAATGATGTGCCTGCCTTACCTACCAATCTACGGATTCTTTGGTGGTAATGCCTGTGTCTTGTTCACTTAGGTATGCCTAGAGCCCAGGAAAGTACCTGGAACAGAACAGGTGTTTAATAACATGTGTTAAATTGAAGAAATGGTGAAAAGGGTCACAAAAGTGTAAGAACATATACAAAAATACAAAGGCTAATGAATCAAAATTAAGCCTGGAGTTCGGGCATGGGAAAAATTATAATAGGGAAACAAAAATAACTGGAAAAAAAGAATAAAGAATGAAGAGTCCTGGCCAGTGTGGTTCAGTAGATTGAGTGCTAACCTGGGAACCAAAGGGTTGCAGGTTTGATTCCCAGTCAGGACACATGCCTGGGTTGCAGGCCAGGTCCTCAGTGGGGGAGGAGGCGGATGGAAGGCAGCCACACATTTATGTTTCTCTCCCTCTCTTTCTTCCTCCCTCCTTTTTTTCTGAAAATAAATAAAATTTTAAATCTTAGAAAAAGAATGAAGAAAGAACATTAAAGGAGAGGTGAGGGATTTTCTTTTAAAGTGTTTAAGGACTCTCAAACTTCTAAGATGGATGAAGCAGTTCTTTGTCCTTGTCTTTTCATTTGACTGTTATGGTGGAACCTTGTCTATGAAAATGTGGAATCAGGGTTAACATGACTGAAAGGTGACTCATGTACTTGCCACTGCATCAACAAGCACTGCTTTCTATTAGGAGAAACTAATTGTCATGTGTGTGATCCTTAATATTCCAGATCTTGAATATTCCAATAAATGGTGTCCTTATCAAAACAGACCCCTTGGGTGGCATAAATGCTAGTAGTTAGGTAACCAGATGCCAGAGATTGTCCAGAAAAGCCCTGGTTTATACCTGTTGTGACAATGGAATAAATTATCGCCCTCATCTACTTTCCCAATTTGGGTTATAAAATATGGTCACAACAGCCAACACTTCTTGAGCTCTTCCTATGAACTAGATATTGTGTAAAGTACTTGACAGAAATATTCTTGTTAGATGCTCACTATGATTCTCTTCTTAAATTGAAATACAATCTGTATACTGTAAGATTCACCTTTTTAAAGTGCACAGTTCAGTGGTTTTTAGTATATTCACTCTGTTGTGCAACCATAACAATGATCTAATTCGAGAATATTTTCATATTTTCCAAAAGAAATCTTATACTAATTAGCATTCACTCTCCATTCTTCCATCCCCAAGTTCCTGGAAACCATCAATCTGCTTTCTGTCTCAACGGTTTTGCTAGTTCTGGACATTTTATACAAATGGAATCACAAAGTATGTCACCTTTTGTGTTTGGCTTCTGAAAATCCTATTTTACAATTGATGAAACCAAGCACAGAGAGATTAAATAGCCTGTCCAAGATCACCCATCTAGTGGGAAGAAGTGTCAGAACTAGAACCAGGTACGTCTGGCTCCAGAGCCCTCATTTTTAGCCACCATGATATGCTGCTTCCTCATATTTATTGCAGGTACTCAACACATTCTTGGAACTGTTTTTTGGCCTTCTGTAACTGGGCACATTCTTTCCAAAATGCCTCACAAATCTTCATTATTTGAGAGTGGATTTAATGTTTAGAAAGAATCATAAGTTATTAAGAGCAAGTATGGTAACTAAAGTGAGCTATTAGCCTGGGTCACTTCTATGGACTGAATTGCGTCCCCTCCAAATTAATGTGTTGCCCCTCTAAACCACAAATATGACTAATGTTACCATATTTGGAGATAAGGCCTTTAGGAAGTAATTAAGGTTAAATGAAGTCATAAGAGTGAAACTCTAATTTGATAGAATTGGTAGCCTTATAGAAATGGGGAGAGAAAAGAAGAGTCATCTCCCTCTTTGCTCTGTGAAGACACCACAAAAAGGAGGCCATCTGCAAGACAAGATGAGAAGTCTCATTAGAACCTGACCACTCTGGCACACTGGTCTCAAACTTCCAGCCTCCAGAAGTATTAGAAATAAATTCCTGCTGTTTAAGTGACCCAGTCTATGGTATTTGTTATGATAGACAGAGCTAATACAATCATACTTTGGGATTAAAAAATGAGGCTTATCCATAAAGTCTGGAGAATGATTATAATCTGTGACCTGAAGAACAATTTTCTGAGGGAAGCAATGATAAATATTTTTAATGTTAGAGTCAGCAATGGCAACAGGAGAAGCATCTATAAAACTTTTCATATGGCACTATGTTTATAAATTTTACAATGTCTCTTGAATTTATCTGGAAAATAAAACAACTGCAGTAAAAAAACCCCTATTATTCTACTGTTAATACTGTGTTATATTTTATCTCATTTTATCCTTTTCTGAAATCTGAGTTATACAATCTGTATTTTTTAAGTACACAATCAACACATAGATACCTTAGACTCCCCTTTATCTAATATGGTCAAAGAGGATTGTTAGTTAATTGATAATATTTGCTAAAGCATAATGAATATATTCATATACATAAACACCTTAAACTTTTTATTTTGACCCAAAACATATACTTTTAAATCTATATGCTAATCTTTTGATGTAGGGTCAAGCCGTTTTTTTGAATAAGCACTTCTGATGGGTTTTCCATTTGTCTTTCTTCCATAAACCATAATCATAATGCATCATCTATGATTCCCAGCATTTGCTCATTTAACATGGAACAAGAATGTAGGTGCTTGCAAAGCAATTTGAGTACAGAGTCCTTCCAGAATTTTCTTTCCCAATATTTTACTGCTATCAAATCCACAACTAATTTGACAGCATATTTTGGAGGATTTCCCCTCTCACTGAGTCTTTGTAAAGTAATCAACTTAGTTTCCATAGAAACAACTCTTGCTTTTAGTGCTTATAATTGTTTGTCATACATATAATTTAAGTTGTATAATTACAATAACAAGCAGAATTATCAAAAATTGTTCAAGAAAGTGATTATTATTATGTATGGGGTTCCACTGATAGGTATAAAGGTACATGATCATACTAGAGTAGCCTACTAACCATGAGCTTTCATCATGACATAAGCATCAGGCAACATTTTAAAGAGGGAATGGAGCATATTCTCTATGCACTACTAAGTAGAAGTTCCTTAAGAGAGTTTCTATGGTCCCTATTCATTTAAAAAATAAATCCAGATATGTATTGAGTAAAAAGTTAGTTTTTTTTAACTTATCCCCTCTCCAGGGAAAATGCTGTTAACATTTGCTATGTATCCTTCCAGACGCTTGTATGCATTTATCTATACATGTGTATCCCTTAAGTTATATGATTAGCTAGGCACTGTCTAAGACCTTGATGTGAATTAAGTTGTTTAATTCTCACGACTCTATGAAATAGTACTGTATCTTCATTTTACAGAATGATAAACTGAGGCTCAGAAAGGTTCAGTAATTTTCCCTAAGACATATAGTGACTAATTTGTTCTTCCTCCTGAGGAGACAATCTTACTAATGTACATGAATCAAGTTAAAGATTTGGATCCATTCATTTATTTAGTAAACATTTATTGAATGTCCAATCTTTGCCAGGTACTATACATAAAGCCAGGTATTCAAACACATGATTTCTGTTTTAAGGTACCTGGAAAAGGCAAGCCAATATGTGAGCTAAAAGATCCCCTCCCATTGATCCAGCTAATAAATGGGTAGAGCAGGATACAATTCAGGTTTGTTTTCACAATTGTTATATGACTTCTCTAGGTGCATAGAAGCTTTGGTAGATTGTTTTTTAGAGGTAGTCACCTTGAATACTATTATTTTCATGAGAACATGAGTTTGAAGCTCCCAGAAATCAATGTCCTATGGTGAAGACACAGTTTGTAAATTGGAGACCATAAATATAAGTTCTTAAAAGTTTTAAGTATATATATAGTAGAGCAATACTATATGGGTGAAGAGGCTTGGAATTTAATTCCCTCAATGGGAAGACTGGAGGTAAGGAGTTTAGATACATTAAGGAGCTCAGTTAAAAATGTTGAAAAGTGACAGCTTAAATAAAAATAAGCAATTAAAAAGAGAAAAAGTCCAGAAAAGAGAAAATAGGAAAGTTGTATATAAAAAGACCTAATGACAAAAAATCATAACAAAAAATTGAGGAATTGGATCATAATGGTTGAAAAACTTTAAAGTTGTATGTTGAGACAGAACCAAGACCTTACCTATTATGCAACACATTCCACAATGCTGGCCAATTTCAACATACACTATGAAGGACTGAAGGGAAATGCCTCTCTCCCTGAGATAAGGGTGGAGAAATTGAGCCACATGGGCGCCTGACCTTCAAAGACATAAACGCCAAATGCTTTTAGAGCTAGTTGGCAACATATACAGGGATGGAAGAATCAGGGGATTATGCTTGTAAACATGTTATGGGATTTTACATAGGGAGCAAAAAGGAAGCTTTAATTGGAAACTTTACAAGAATGGTTGTATATTCTTTGTTACTGCAGAAACATTTACATATATAAACACATGGAATGTGGTGGCTTTGATGGGGCAGATTAAGCAGCAAGATTGAAAAATAAAATTAAAAAATGAGGAAGAAAAGGGAAAATGTTGAGTTTCTTAAATTGTTTGCAAGGAAACTGGGGTCTAAGACAGAATTTGGTTCTTATGACTGAAATGTTTCTTTGGTGTTGGAAAAAGTATTGCTGTCATATCTATTTAGAAATTCTTTTCTTTTTTTTTTTTTTGCATGAGAAAAATCTTGTGGCATCTCCTGGAGGACTTTAAAAACAGGAGCAATTTCATCTGTCTGGAATAGTCTGTGTCAGCACTTGCCCTAGGCAAGGTTACCACATAGGCAAAAAGTTCCCTCTTCCCTACCAGGAGAACCCTCCCCCACTGTCCCACTCCTTGCCCTTAACACCCCATCATGGATTGACCCCCTTTTCTTGTACCGCAGTTCCAATGTGACCTTCTACTTGAAACAGATCCCCTTTTCCTCAGCTCTCTCCAGGTGCTAGGGACACACTAGTTTTCATACTTTGCAGCCTATTTGCATTTAAAAATAGGACCCTGGTTAACCCACACTGAATCTGGAAGTGGTGGAACTTGAGACAGTGTAACCAAGTGGAGAGAAGTCCAGGAGAGAGGGGAATATTTTTGGTCACTGGGGGGAAAGGGTGTCTGGTAGCTTCTTTCCTGGAAGCTAAATAGGCCAGGCATTGAAGGACAAATACCATATGATCTCACCTTTGACAGGAAGCTAAAGAATAAAACAAACAAGCAAACAGAATAAAAACAAAGACGCTGAAATAGAGAACAAGTGGGCAGCGACCAGAGGGGAGAGGGAAGGGAACTTAAGGGGAAAAAGGGGGAGGGATTTTGAGGAACAAGTATGAAAGACACAGAGATGAGGACTGGGGGTGGGGGGGGGAATGGGAGGGAGGGGGGAGACCGGGCGGGGGGGGGAAGGGAAGAAAAAAAAATGTACTTGAAAAGTAACTAAATAAAATTTAAAAATAAATAAATAAATAAATCCCAGATATGGGCTTGGTTCAGTGTGGTCCTGCCTTGAGGGAGCAGGCAGAGGGTGGAGAGAAGGGTGGCTGTACTCTGTGACCTCACAAGGTTGCCATTAATTCTAAGGGTTGGTGGTTTTCAACTACCTTTTCCTGAACCTGGCATTCTTTGCAGCACTGCAGCACCCTGTGACTTGGCTCTAACTAGCGGTTTTCAGCAGCATGTCTTTGTGCCTACTAGCCAGTGCCCAATTTTCCCATCACAGTCCTCCATGAAAACATCAGTTCTGGGTTTCAGCAGTGGTGGTTGCTGAATATCAGTCCCAGCCATATTCAGCTCAAAGAGATTTTCAGAGTTCTTCAAAGTTTCAGTTCTCAGGGCCTGATAAGAAAGGGACTGTTTGTGCTCACAGTGTGTGTCGGCTTTACGAAGAAAAAAAGTGTGGCTTTATGTGAAGAAGGGGAAAGCTGCAAAAGGAAATCTACTCAAAGAACTTATATGAGTAATTTGGTAAGTTTCATGTTGGATGAACAAACATTCAAGACCTCCCATTATGTGCCAGGTTCAGTTAGACATGGCAAGTAACAACAAAGATAAAGCAAGGTTCCTGCTGTGAAGAAATTCATTCTAATAGACATTCCGTATAAGAAATGGCACCTTTGAGGTAAGCAAGAGTATTTAAGAGCCTGAGGTTTCCCTTGGCTCAACCTGCTGGTAATTGTGATCACAGAAGATTGTCCCAGGGAGATGACATTTGAGCTGAATAGGAGTAAGCCAAACGAAAGAAAGGTTGGAAGGGCGGTCTGTGCAGATGGAATCACATGAGCAGAGGCATGGAGGCATGAAACTACTTGACATGCGTGGGTAACGGGAGCAGGCTGCAATTATTACAGCGAAGTGTGGGTAAGGGGGAGGGGCAAGAGATGAGGCCAGAGGGGCAGGCTGGGCTGGATGAGGGAGAGAAAGCTTAGCTACTGGTGTTAAGGAGTATAGACTTTATCCTGAGGGGAGCCACTGAAGGATTTTAAGCAGGTCAGATTTGCATCTTGATTAAACTATCTGTCACATTGGGGGAAATCATTCAGATTGCCTGTGGGATGAATTCATTCAAAAATTCTATTGAAAGGATAGATTTGCACATCTAGCTATAGTTAAGTTGAAGGCTATGTTTTTCTAAGAGTGTCATTAGTCTGCTAAAACAATTTACAGATAAATGCATGCTTCTATCTCTAAAATTCAACATCATTTGGGGAGATGCAGCATTTGTAAATAGTGCTTAAATGAAACAGTGTTTGATGAGAGTCTTCTCACTTGTATAATTTATTCACATTGCAAAAACAATATCAAGTTGGGAATGCAAATTGTGCTATATTCTTTTTGTTTTCTTCAGCAAAAGTCATCCGGGAAGGCGCTGTTTAACCTAAGTTGCAGCCATCTGAATCTCGCTGAAAAGGAATATTTTGGGTTAGAATTCTGCAGCCATTCTGGAAATAATGTAAGTTGGTTTCATTATAGGATTCCTTGTGTCTAAAATTGCTTCTAAATGCAGTTTGTAGCTAGGTATGTAGGGCTCAAACTCCTGATTGAAAAATAGAAAAAAAAAACACTTTTAAACCTTTGCAAAATGGCTGGATTTAATAATTATTTTCCCTTCTCTCTACTTTTCTATTTAGTCACCTCAGTTTGTCAAACACAAACTCTTCTACCCCATGCTCCTCTTTTGTCACTTTGTGAACAGCTAACTATGCTTTATCTATTTTGACTTTCCAGAGGCTGAATCTTGACCTCCAGAATTGACTCTTAACCTCACTGATGAGTATTCGGGTGATTTTACCCTCTCTGGAGTCCTAATATTCCTGATGTTCTTCCTGCTGTGTCCTGCCTGTTACCTGGCACCTTCCCAGAAAGGCTCATTACATCTATTAAGCTGGCATTTGGGGGATGTAGGATTCAAACGTGGAGCCAAATGCCTTCATTACAGTTTTCATAGCAACTAATGAGCCTTCTATATGACACCTCTGTCATTCTGCCAGCAGGGGAGTATTGATTCAAATGTCAACAACAAACAGATCAACAATGTTCACTGTCATTGAGAAAATATGGGGGGCGGGGGAAGATTGAGTGTGGAGGAGGCATGTCAGTTCTTAGACACTGCTGTTTCTAACTATCTTAACAGTTTAAATAGTCTTGGTATTTGTTTATTTCATGTATACTTTTATCTGGCACCAAAAAACTTGCACTTAATGCCATGTTTTATCAATTCTTTCATTAATTTTATTACAGGTATGGTTGGAACTTCTGAAGCCCATTACAAAACAAGTAAAAAGTAAGTATTGAAAATCTTTTAAGGAAGATAATTCTCAGTTAAAACCTGAAAATATTTCAATATTTCAGCAATGACACACTATTTATAATATTAATATAAGAAGAGAAAGGCTTTGATGTATTGTTTCAGTCCTTTACACATCTAATGGATTTAACAATTCAAAAAATTCATTTTAACTTTCCTGGAGATGAAGAAAATTATGCTGCTGGATCTTTGAGTGAATTCGAAGAACCCCAGTAATCATTGCACTCTGTGGATTGGGTCTGGAAATACATTTCAGGTTCAAGCACTGCAAACTTTTGAGAATCTTTGATGTCAATCTGTGATGTCATTCATCTTCTGCTTGTTCATTCATGTCAGTTCATATCTGAGTGCCTACTAAGTATGATATATTCCCCCCACCCTGTATTTCATAATCTAGTGTGGTGGTTCTCAAATTTTAGTGTGTATTAGGATCATTTGGGGCTCTTGTTAAAATACAGATTACTGAGCCTCATTCCTGGGTTGAAGGCCAGCAACTTACATTTTCAATAAATTCTACTGATGTTTTTTATGCTGGTGGATTTCAGTCAACACTTTGCAAAACATTCTCTTATAGTCCCTCTTCCCCGACCTGCTTTTTATGTTTGGTTCTTTCCACAGTTCTGTCTCTCTTCCACCATAAAATGATATTACATTATTCCAACAGCTTCTGAACTGATTTCCCCTAACCCATGATATACACTACTTTTAAAGGGAACTATTGAGAATGTTATGCTTAAAATGTTTCTGTGGCCCCCATTTTGGCCTTAGAATAAAGTACAAACTTGTTAGCACACCCACAAAACCCTGGACTCTGCCTGCCTTTTTAGCCTTAACTCTGCCACTGATCACTTTGTATTCCTACCTTTCCTGACTTTGACTAAACTAACCTCAGCTGTAGGCTTCTCAGGTAAAATAGAGGATGCCAAACTAAACTGGAATTTCTGATAAACAAAGAATAATTTCCTTGTAAAAGCATGTCCCATGCAATCATTCATCTGAAATTCAAATTTAACTGGGACTCCTGTATTTTATTTTCTAAATCTGGCAGCCTTACTCAGATTTCAACTCCTATAGGAAGATTTCCTTGAATTTCTCCAAACTATTCCCCCCTCTTGTGCTTCCCCAGAATTCAGTGCTTATAACACTTTGTGTCATCTATTATACCAGAATATGAGTGCTTAGTTGTCATTTTATTCCCAATACCTACCTAGTTCAATGCTTGGCATATAGTAGGCACTCAAAAACATTTGCTGAATGATACTAAACTCTGCATGTATGTGTTCACTTTATATGCAAAGTGTTTCTTATTTTTATTTTATTTTTTTAAAGATTTTATTTATTTATCTTTAGAGGGGAAGGGAAGGAGAGAGGGAGAGAAACATCAATGTGTGGTTGCCTTTCATGCGTCCCCTGCTGGGAATTGGCCTGCAGGGAACTGGTCTGCAACCCAGGCATGTGCCCTGACTGAGAATCGAACCGCGATTGTCTGGTTCGCAGGCCCGTGCTCAATCCACTGAGCTACACTAGCCAGGGCTGTTTCTTATTTTTAAATGCAAATAAGAATTAAGGTAAGTAGATGTGCCTTAATGTACATTTTAAGATACATGGAGGCATCAGTCCATATTTCTTATAGTTCATCTTCATGAGATCCTCCAGCCAGTGATACTCAACTGCCTCTAAAGCAGGGCTCTTCTATCATCCAGGACTGCAGAATCCTAAGTGGCAAGTGTAACATTTTTCAAAATAGGGCACTCCGTAAGAGAGAACACAGTAGGCTCCAAAGACGCACATCTTTACTAAAAGAAACTCAAAAGGAAAGAGGGTAGGAAGAGGACGAGGAGAACTTTCCTAACTGCTATCCACATAGAGACACAATCTAGAAATAACAGCATCTGAGAAGTGTTAAAATTAAATTTTAAAAGTCTAGGAGGGAGTAATGGGGAGAGGAGGGAAGAGAAAAGGGGAGTGTATGTGTGTAAATACCTGTAACTGTTGTGATGGACATGTAAATAAAACTTATGAAGTTATTGTGTTTTAAGATCCTAAGGAGATTATTTTCAAATTTATGGTGAAATTTTTCCCAGTGGACCCTGGACATCTGAGAGAAGAACTTACAAGGTATAGTATTCACCTGAGTGTCTGCTGCATATTACTTAAGAATCATTATTCTCCATTTACCAGAGAATGGGCTTCTAGTCTTATTTGGAAGGCCTGACTCTGAGTCACTCTGGGAGTTGGTGAGGACCTGGAGGGAAGGAGTGCCTGGCTGGTACTCAAAGTGTTAATCTTCCAAAGGGCTGGGACTTCAGGGAGAAGGAGGGAAGATATTCTAGAAGTGGTAGCCAGCATGGGTGCCCACTTGGGTGTTATGACATTAACTGGTGCAACAGAGTGCTTGCCTTCATTGCATATGTGTTCCAGTCAGAGGGCAGCTTGACAGCACAAGTGTAATGCCAACTAATTTTAATGGATATTGAAAATAGCCCGTGTGTGTGTGTATCCCATGGGTAGAATGTGAATATGACATATACTTATAAAAGTTTAAAAACTAAAAAAGCATGAATTCTATAAATTATTTATAATGTATAATATAAATTATTGACATTTTATTATAATTAGTTAATAATTATAAACTATTAATAATTTAATATAACTTAATGATAATTTATGGTGATAAATTATTGAGCTTTATAAAACTAAAATATTTTATACTTTTAAAACTTTCAAAAATTAAAAAGTAAAAAATATAAAACATTTAAAATAGTGTTTTATACTTATTAATAATGCCCTTTAAAACTACAATGTAAACCTACTTCTTAAAATATGCACTTTAAGCATAACATTCCCCAAAACCTTACTCTGGTTTTCAGACATTAGACTCTTACATTTAGAAGTGATATAAGAGATATTCTAGTCCAGCCCTCTTTGTTTACAGGTGAGGAAAACAGGTCCTGGGAGGTAGAATGACTTACCCAAAATCACAGGATGTTGGCAGTTATTCTCCCTGAAGTATTCCCACCAATGTGGTTCATCCTACCTCTTTCACACCTTTTCTACAGAGATATTTCTTTTCTAAGGTGTCTTTGCAGAAATCACTTTTCACAAATCAGTCTCTCTCTCAATTCTCTCAACCTTTGTAAATTTGAGGCCACTTTCCCAGATAACTTGATAGCTGGGTATTTATATCAATTTGCTAACCCATTTTAGTTAAGTCTCAAATTATGACCAATTTTGGAGGAGATAAACTTTTTCCCCCCTTCCAAAAAAAAAAGAATGAGAAAAATCAATATGATGGTAAATGATTCATCAGCTGTTCAGAATAAGGATTTGGTGTTTGTAGCTTACACCTGCATTCTTTTTTAAAATATTTTATTTATTTATTTTTAGAGAGAGGGGAAGGGAAGGAGAAAGAGTGGGAGAGAAACATCAATGTGTGGTTGCCTCTCGTGAGTGAGTCCCCTGCTGGGAACTGGCCTGCAACCCAGGCATGTGCCCTGACTGGGAATCGAACCGCGATACTCTGGTTCTCAGGCCCATGCTCAATCCACTGAGCTACACCAGCCAGGGCTACACCTGCATTCTTAAGAACAATGAATGTGCCAAATGACAAGAAGTTTCCCTTTTTTCTTGTGGGGAGCAAAATAAAATTCACTTTCCCTGTAGCAATTGAGGCTGATGATTGTATTTACATTGTATTTGAAAGCAGACAATGGCAATGGCTAGAATTCCTTTATTTTTTCCTCATTGGTCCATCTAAGCATATTTAACTGTAGTTGATTTGATAAGGATGCCTTGTTTGGGTCCAATATGTGAGTTTCAGAGGCTGGCATACAAATATAACTTCTTTAATTGAATCATCTCTAACTAGTTAGGGGAGCTCACAGTTGGAAGGATTAAAATGATGAATGCTTTTGTAAATTGAATAATTACCTGCTAATTTACCTATATTTTTCTAATCTACATTTTCATCTATAATTTAAACTTAATTTTGATTCTCCACGTTGTCTTCATGGCTTAATTGGTTTTAAATAAAAATCTAGATAGAACTCTATTTAAATAAATAGAAATGCACACTGCAGATACTCAATACAAATTTTAATGTATAAAATAAAATATTGGAAGCAATTTTGGACCATGGAAGAAAGCATTCAGTGATAGATTCTTAATTATACACATCTTTTCAAATGTTGTTTCTCATTGATAATGGCTTAAGTGTGTGAGACAAATGTCATATATTTCATAAAGTTTTGGATACTAACCAGCACTTTATGCCTCTGATAAGCTGTTGGTAGAAATAAGGCAGTTTGACTTCATTCCATTTGGTACATAGTAATTCCATACATGCTCTGTGCAAAGTGTTGGGTTAGGCTGTGGTGACACAGAGAAGGCAATTCAGGAGAATTGTCAGAAGCATGGTCTCAACACCTTAATTTCTGAAACATATTTTTTTTGGAAAGGAGGAGGCCTAAATTCAGTGGCAGACATGAGTTCTAGTCACAGTTACACTATTTTTGGGTGATATAACCTTGCCCAAATCACCTAATCTCTGTTTTCCCATAATTGTGAAATGGAACAATTGTGCCTACCCTGGCAACCTCCTAAGTTGCTTTGATAGTGAGTACTTGATTGCATTTTGTAAATAAAGCAGTACGGCCTCTTGAGAAGGCTGATTCTTGCTGAATTTCCCTTTCTGTCTGGATCTGGGTATGTGGCTTTGCTACATGGCAGAAACCACAAGAGTCTGATTGGCCAACTCCTTCAAGTTGGTTGGAGGATTTGGCCAGGGTGATTCCTAGTGGCTGTAAGGCCTGCTAAAGTGCTGGGTCAGCTGAGTTGTGGTCTAGTGCTGGTTTGAGGCTGAAGCAAAGCATATGTATTACTTACTACCCCATAAAAGCATCTCACTGACTGGGGTACCATTTCTTTCTTGAAACATTTTGGATCTGGGAGAAGGGACATATTTCTTTCTTGCTCCTGTTTCTTTCTCAGGAGATTCTCTTCTCAAATTCTTTCCAGGTATCTTTTTGCCCTTCAAATAAAGAAGGATTTGGCTCTAGAAAGGCTTCCATGCAGTGACAACTGTACAGCACTGATGGTATCCCACATCTTACAATGTAAGTAGTGAATGTTGGCTTCGGGGACTATCAACCAGGCAGAGAAACAAGTAAAGGAGCTGAGCACCCCCAGCATGCCCATCATTGTATTAGGAGAGAAGGCCTAGATAAGATATATAGAAGCAGAATGCTGTAATAGAAAGATATTGCCATTGTAGTCATTAAAATGTGGATTCAAATCCTGTCTCTACTGCACTCTAACTGTTGTAAGCTTGAGTAAAGTCCCCTCATCTGTCTATGCCTAAGATTTCTAGTCTTTAAAACAGTGACAAGACTATTTTGTCACAAAGCAGTAGTGTTTATGTAGATTAAATGTAAATGCTGATTTTCATCTATGTGGGTCTAACTTTCCCCTCCCACTGTCTGGGGCTTGCTGTCCAGGAACTGGTTTGGACTAATCTGGAGATGGACTTTGCCAGGCAGGCCCCCATTCTCTCTACTTGCCCCAGGATACATTTCTGGTATGTGCTTTCTGTGGCACACTGTCACATTTGATGTGATTTCCATGTTGCTCTGTATCATGATTCCAGACAACAAAGCACAGAGTACACCAGGTAAAGAGAGGTTAAAATGGAAAAAGGCCCCAGGTATGTGTTAGAGTTTCCCATACACTAGCAGCCAAGTAGTTGGACTAGGATGAATAATGAAGACAGGGAGAAGGAGCCTAGGAAACAGTGGGGGCCTGCTTGAAAGTGGATTTAGGTGGGCAGGCCAGTCTGCCCCTGTACCATTAAAGACAGGGTTGAGGCAGCTGAAGATAGTATCTCTTCTTCTAGGACTGGCTGTGCTTTCTCTTTTATAAAGGTCTTCCAAGAATAGGCTGTTCCTTACTAGTCCAGCAGGATCATAAATTTATTTTTTGTTTTACAAGTTCATTTGTTTACCTATATTCCTTACATTCCTGACAGACCAGAATAGGAAAATTTCTGTTTTCACTGGGAATTCCAGAATGAAGTTCATGGATTGGGTAGTTTTTGAATCAGTGTTTTACTAATCAGTGACTCCTGACTGGGACAGGCGATGACAGCACCAGGATCTCAGGAAGACAGTGAGCAGTAAGAGCAATAGTAATCATGGAAGGCTTACAGAGGAGGTAGCTTTGGTGCAGGGCCTTAAAAGAATGCAGAGAAGTTGGATAACTAGTAACAAGCAGAGAAAACATGAAAAATGGTAGTGGATCAAGAAATCATATATACAAATGTTGGAGAGGGTGTGGGGAAAAGGGGTCCTTAGTTCACTGTTGGTGGGATTGCAGACTGGTACAACCATTATGGAAAACAGTATGGAATTTTCTCAGAAAAATAAAAATCGACCTGCCTTTTGACCCAGTAATTCCACTGCTGGGATTATATCCTAAGAATCCTAAAACATCAATATCAAAGAACCTATGCACCACAATGTTCATAGCAGCACAATTTACAATAGCCAAGAGTTGGAAGCAACCTAGGTGCCCATCAGTAAATAAATGGATCAAAAATTGTGGTCCATATACACAATGGAATTCTATGTAGCAGAGAGAAAGAAGGAGCTACTACCTTTTGCAACAACATGGATGGAACTGGAAAGCATTATGCTGAGTGAAATAGGCCAGGTGCTGAAAGACAAATACCATATGATCTCACCTTTAACAGGAAGCTAAACAACAAAACAAACAAGCAAGCAGAAAAAAAAACCAAAGACACTGGAATAGAGAACACAGGGACAGTGACCAGAGGGGAGAGGGAAGGGAAGTTAAAGGGAAAAAGGGGGAGGGATTTGGAGGAATAAATAGGAAGGACACAGGGACGAGAACTAAGGGGGGTGGAAATGGGAGGGAGGTGGGGAGCAAGGGACGGGGGAGGCTGGGATGGGAGAAATAGACAAAAAAACTGTACTTGAAAAATAACTAAATAAAATTTAAAAAAAGAAATCATATATACAGAGGATGCAGCTCAAGTAAACTCAAGTATAGGTTTCTGGAATGCTAAGGACAATAACCATACGTCCAGTATTGTGTTTGGCTTGACAGGGGTCATGGGGTAAAGCAAATGGAGGAAATGTTGAAAGACTTATCCTTCTCCATTAGCTACCTATTAAGGCAGCAGTCAGAGGATTGAGGCTCCCTGACAGCGTCTGATGGGGGAGCCCAATTTTATTCTTAATGGTTCAGCATTATAGATGTGGGTATACCCTGGTGGCCATTTCAATCATAGCACAGAACACTTCAGCTTTTCTAGAGAATATTTTCTCAATAGATTCTCTTTCCCCCCATCCAAAAAAGGCTAAAGTTTCAAGGAGTCAGCTCTTTACAATCCATCCATGTCTGACTATTTCACTGGATGCTAAGGCAGTATGCAGAACACAACCACATTGCTCATTCATTTGCTCTTTCATCCCAGTATTTATGCTCTAATCCAGGGTGTCAAACTACTTTTTACCGGGGCCACGTCAGCCTCACAGTTGCCTTCAAAGCCTCACAGTTGCCAAATGTAATTTTAGGACTGTATAAATGTTACTACTCCTTAACAGTTAAGGGAGCACTCGGTGCTGTCACCTGGTAGAAACAAGGTACTGGGCTGGATAAAACAAGGTGGAGGGCCAGATTTGGCCTGAGGGCCTTGTGTTTGCTGCCTGTGCTCTAGGCATTCAAGAACCTCCACATTCTGACCTCTCATCTGCTTAAGTTTCACTTACATACCCCTCTGATCCTAGCCAGACTCTCCCTCCCAAACACAACTTGTACATTCAAACAAAGCCTCATTTTTATGAATTCCTTTAATAACTGTTCTTTGCCATTTATTCAACAAAAATATTTTGAGTACCTTCTACATGCCAGGTACTATTACAGGCACTGGGAACATAGCAGTGAACTAAGCAGACAAAAATTCTTGCCCTCATGGAGCTCACATTTTGGCAGTGGAAAAAAATCAGGCAATAACCAAAATAAGGAACTATATATCATGTATATTAGAAGGTGATAAATGTGTTGGAGAAAATAAAGTATGAAAAGGAGATGGGGGATTCTAGAGGTGGGTAATGAATTTTTAAGTAAAGTGGTCAAGGTAAGATTCACTGTGATGTAACAGCTGAACAAAGACTTGAAGGAGGTGATAGAGCAAGCCATGTAGAAACCCAGTGGAAGGAAGTTCCAGTCAGAGAAAACATCTAGCACAATGGGCCTGAGGTGGGACCATGCTGGAATGTTCAAGAAACTTTAAGCAGCCTTTGTGGCTGCCTAGAACTGAGAGAGGAAAAGAGTAATTATGGAGGACCTTAAAAGCACATTAAAGACCTAGAACATTATTCTGAGATGGGAATCCAATGAAGCATTTAAAGCAGAGGAGTGAAATATTCTGAGTTAGATTTTAATAAGATCATCTTCACTACTATGGTGAAAGTAGAAACAAACAGTAGTAAATAGGCCATAGAGATCTAATGCACAGTATAGTGAATAGAGAAAATAAATTTTACTATGATTATGTAATATGCTAATATTACTACAATGCCAATCATATTACAATATATAAATATATCAAAATAACACTCTGTACATTTTAAATTTGTACAGTATTGCATGTCAAATTTATTCAATAAAAAGGGAATGAAAATAAACCTTAGAGAATAGTGGAAGTGGGAAGGCCAGATAAGAGGCTATTGCAGGAGAGAGAGGGATAATGATAGTTTGGACCAGTGTCATAACACTGAAGGTGCTGATAACATTTTCTACTTTCTGTTACTTATTCATTTGTATGTTATAAGTCTCTTCCTAGATTGTCATAGTCTTACATAGAGAGAAAATTCCTTAGGGTCAATATAGGGTATACAACTCAACAGTTTTTAGTAAATTTACAGAGTTGTGCAACCATTAGCACAATCCAGTTGTAGAACATTTCCATCATGTCAAAAAAGACCCATTTGCCCTTTTCTCATGCTCAGCCTCTGCAACCACTGACTTACTTTCTATTCTCATAGATTTGTTTTCTCTGAACATTTCATATAATGGGAGTGATAAAATATATGGTCTTTTTCATCTGACCATTTTTTCACTCTGCATGTTTTTGAAATTCATGCACATTCTAGCATGAATCACAGTAGTTTGTTCTTTCTATTGCTGAGTAGTCTTCTATTTTATGGATATATCACATTTTGTTTCTCTGTTTACCTGGTCATGGACATTTGAATTATTTCCAGTTTAAATAATATAAATAATGTTTTGAACACTTACGTGGCCACATGTTTTTATTTCTCTCGAATAGATTCCCGGGAGTATAGTTGGTTGCTTCATCTTACAGTAATTTATATTTAACATTTTAAGAAACAACCAAATGCACTTCAAGTTATAACAATTGAGTAAGAAATATATGTGATTTCCAATTACTCCACATCTACACCAACACTTGGTGTTGTCTATCTTTTATATTATGGCCATTCTAGTGGATATGAAGAGGTATCTTATTACAGTTATAATTAGCATTTATACTGACTAATAATGTTAAACACCTTTATACCTGCTTATTAACAATTCCTATGTTTTCTTTGGTAAAATACTTATTGAAATATTTTGCCATTTTAAAAAGAGTTGCCTTCACATTGAATTTTAAGAGATTTTTATATATTCTGATTAAAATCCTTTCTGAGATATGTAATTTGCTATTTCCCCCCAATCTGTTCCTTGACTTTTCATTTTCTTAATGCTGTCTTTTGGAGTGCAACAGTTTTTAGTTCTGATGGAATTCTACTTTCTCAATATGTTAAGTGGATTATGCTTTTGATGTAATATCAAAGAACTCTTCACCTAACCTAAGGTTACAAAGATTTCTCCTAAGTTTTTTTCTAGAACATTTATAGGCTTACATCTTAGATTTAGGTCTATGGTCCATTTTAAATTCTTTTTGTATGCTTACATAGTAAATTGTGCGAGATAGGAATCCAACTTCATTTTTTTTTTTTGCATGTAGCTGTCCATTTGCCCCATTTGTTGAAAAGACTATTACTATTTCCCCATAGAACTGTCTTAGATCCTTTGTCAAAAACTAATTGACCATACATGTAAGGGCTTATTTCTGGATTTTCAACTACGTTTTGTTAATCTATATGTCCTTATGTCATTACCACACCGTCTTATTTATTGTAGCTTTGTATGAAGCTTTGAAGTGGGAAAGTGTACATCAAACAGCTTTGCTCTTCTTTTTCAAGACTGTTTGGTTATTTTGTATCTTGTACACTTTTGTGTACATTTTAAGATCATTTTTCAATTTCTACAAAATATTAGTGGGGACTGCATTAAATTTGTACATTAATTTTAGCAGAATTATAATCTTTACCATGTTGAGTCTTTGAAACTATGAACTAGAAATGTCCCTCAGTTAATACAGGTCTTTTAGAAATTTATCTTGGCAACATTTTGTAGTTTTCAATATATGTGTTACACGTATTTTGTCAAATTTTCCCCAAGTATTTTTTGTATATGTTATTGTAAATGAAATTGTTTTCCTAGTTTCATTTTTGGATTGCTTGGTTGGTACTATATGCAAATACTATGACTTTTTGTATATTGGTCTTCTCTCTCACTACCTTGCTGAACTCATACATTAGTTCTGGTAGATTTTTTTGTGTGGATTCCTTAGGATTTTCTACACTCAGGACCATGTGGACTACAAGTAAAGACAGTTTTGTCTCCTTTTTAGTGCAATACTCTTCCTGTTACCTGATTGCACTGACTAGAACCACCAGTACAATGTTAGATAAAAGTGTCAAGAACAGACATCCTTGTCCTCTTCCTGGTCTTAAGGAAGAGCATTCAGTATCACACCACTTGGTGTAATTATAATCTTAGCTGTCGATTTTTTTATTGTACTGTATTTTTATATTTATTTTTTCTCTCTCTCTTTGTTTTTATTGTTGTTCAAGCACAATTATCTCCATTCCACCCACTCCACATCCCTTACCCCAGCCATCCCCACCTTCCATCCTTGATTCTAACCCCCTTTGGCTTTGTCCATAGGTCCTTCATACATGTTCCTCAATGACCCTTCCCTCTTTCCCCTCATTACCCCCTCCCACCTTCCCTCTGGTTACTGTCAGCTGTAGATTTTTTTAAAAGTTTTTTCTTTAAGATTTATTTATTTATCTTTAGAGAGGAAGGGAAGGAGAGAGGGAAATATCAATGTATGGTTGTCTCTCATGCGTCCCCTGCTGGGAACTGGCCTGCAACCCAGGCATGTGCCCTGACTGGGAATCAAACTGGTGACCCTTTGGTTTGCAGGCCCATGCTCAATTCACTGAGCTATGCCAGCCAGGGCAGTTAGCTATAGATTTTAATAGTTTATTTATTTCAGGTTGAAGAAGTTCCCTTCTATTCCTTGTTTGTTGACCTTTTTTTATCATGAATTGGTGTTTGGTTTTGTACAATGCCTTTTCTGTATTTATTGAGATGATAATGTACATTTTGTTCTTTATTAATATTGTATGTTACATTAATTAATCTTCACATGTTGAACTGATCTTACAATCTTGGGATAAATTTAACTTTATCATAAAATATAATATTTTTTACGTTGCTGGATTCAATTTATTAGTGTTTTGTTTAGGATTTTTGCCTCTGTATCATAAGGGATATTGATCCGTATGTAGTTGTTTTTCTTCTTATGATACCTTTGTCTGGTTGTGGTATCAGAGTAATATTGGCCTCATAGAATCACTTGGTAAGTATTCATTTCTTTTTTTTCTGGAAGAGTTTGTGAAAATTAATATGTATACATGTTGGAGACCACTCTGCCTGGTTGCAGGAATTGTAACTACCCCCCATGGCTAAGAATGAGTGAGTGACCTCTGGAATGCAAGCCACAGGAGACAGAAGCTTGTCTCTGGTAGCTAATGCTGCCTCAGTTTCCTCTCCCTGTCCCCAAAGCATGGTCAGAAGTCAATGACCGGTAAGACTCCTCACAGACAGAGGGGCAACCTAAGCTAGACTTGATCAGTTGGAAGGCCATCATGGAAGGACTTGGGGGGCTGCAACAAAGAGGGAGCAATGGACCCTTGTGCCCCACCTATGTGACATAGCTTGAGTCCCCATGTCCTCTGGGAGAAGTGCTTCCTGGCTCTAATCCACTTAAGCCTGAATACCTGATGGGGAGGGGGTGCAGCTCCTTGCCTTGCTATAGTGGTATCTGGGGAAATCTGGCATCAGAAAGAATTCCTAAAAATCCTGTGAAACCTGCTTTGCTAAGAGTGTTTCCATTCATATGATAAAGTTCTGAGCAGGAAATCTCAGAGTTTCTGCAAAACCCCCTTCTTAACAGACTCTGACTCAGACTAAGCCCTCAGATTTCTTTGAAATGTTATCTACTGTTTGATCCTTGCCACCCGGTATTACTGTGTATTACAACCTAATAAAATCCCCTGGAGAAAGGAGCTCAAGGCCTTTTTCCTCTGAGAAACTGGCCACCTCTCCTCCCCAAGAAGATCATGTCTTGGTAGTGTTTACTTTCATCCATGGCAGACGGGGGTACTTGAGGGAAAAGTTGCCCCCACATATACGTTCTTTGAATACTTGATAAATCCTATGCACTTCATTGAGTTTTAAAGAAATATGTATATTTATCAATTTTGGTAGTAAATAAAATTCATCGATTTAATCTAAGAAAGCTTGCTATACAAAGATTTTCATTATAATGTTATTTTAAAAATATATACATACATATATACCACACCTGTCTAAAAATGAGTATGCCTTCTGTCTAAAACAAAATAGAACCCTGAGTGTGTGGCTTATTAGCTAGAGCATTGTCTCATACACCAACAGGTTGAGAGTTTGATCACTGGTCAGGGAATATATCTAGGTTGCAGGTTTGATCCCCAATCAGGGCACATATAGGAGGCAACCACGTGATGTTCCTTTCTCTCTCTCTCCCTTCCTCTCAAAAATCAATAAACATATCCTCAGGTGAGCATTTAAAAAACACAATAGAAAACAAAAGAGAAAATAAGTTTCTAGCAGTTAATATGGGTGCCCCTTTCCGTATATGTATCTTACCCAATAGGAGAGCAACACCAGATTCTATGGAAAGTCTATTTGCTCTTACAATTCATAAACTACTAACAGGTTTGGATATCTGTATGCCCATTTTTAAAATGTTACAATGTGAATTTTAATTGGAAAAATAGTTTTGGGTTTCCATTTTATGGTAGATTAGAAGTTACAATTTAGAACCTAGTAGAGACCTACCTCTCCAGGGGAAGTCAACAATGAGAGTGAGTCATATCAATCTGATAGTTTAAAGTCATTTACTGTGGGGGCAGATAGTTCTAGATACCTCAATTGCCTTTGTAGACAGTGCTGTAATAAAAGTTTCTAACAATAAACTGGACACATCTAGGAAAGAGTAGATTATGATCAGTGATTAACTGCAAGCGAATAAGCCAATAGATAAAAGACAAATAGTATATGATCTCACCTATAAAAGGAACTTGATGAAAAAAAAAGTAATGAGCACAATAGAACCAGAGGCATGGAAACATGAAACAGTCTGACAGTGACCATAGGGAATGGGGGAGGGGGATAATGGTGGAATAAAGGGAAAGGGATGAGTCAAAGAACAAGTATGCATGACCCATGGACATGGACGACAGTGTGGGACTGATTGTGGGAACAGGGGATGGACTGGTGGAGGAGGGCAAAGGGGGGGACATTGGGACAACTATAATAGAACAGTAATAAAATATTTAAACTTCAGGAAAAAATTAAAAAATTAATGATCCATGTGTTTTTAAAAAGCCAGGATGATTATCTACTGGGGATTACAGATAGCTGTGACTGGCTTGCATTATAGTTAGGGGCCGGAGTTACTTTGCATGGGCTGCTATAACAAAATACCACAGAGTAGGTTGCTTAAATGACAGAAATTAGTGTCTCACAGTCTGGAGGCTAGAATTCTGAGGCTGAAGTTTTGGTTTCTTCTGAGGTCTTTCTCCTTGTCATCTCTCATGATGCCATCCTTACCTGCTCTCTCCTCTGTGCATCTGCATTCCTGGTGTGTCTCTGTGTGTCTAAATTTCCTCTTTTTATAAGGACACCAGTCAGATTGGATTAGGGCACACCCTTCTGGCTCATTTTAACTTAATCACTCCTTTATAGGCCCTAACTCCAATATTCAAAGATTTTCAAACCCTAGCACCTCAGTCATATTCTGAGGTGCTAGGGTTTAGAACATCAACATATAAATTTGACAGGGGGAGAAACAATTCAACCTGTAACAGGGACTGAACAGATGTAAAAGAGATCATAAACAGAATGCAGGAGAAGGAAAAATAAAAATAATCCGTGAACTTAGAGATTTTAAGACCTGTATTTTGCCCTGGCTGGTGTGGCTTCATCCAGTGGTTTGAGCTGCATCCTGCAAATAAAAGGGTCACCAGGTCAATTCCCAGTTAGGGCACATGCCTTGGTTGTGGGCTGGGTCCCCAGTTGGGGATGCGTGAGAGGTAACCACATATTGATGTTTCTCTCCCTCTCTCTAAAAATTAAATAAAATAATTTTTTTAAAAAAGAAGACCCACATTATATCTGTTAGTTACTATGCAAGGACTTTGTAGCAATTCACTTCTGATTGGAAAAAGAACCGATTAGATCCACCATATATCCTAAAACATAAATAGACATAAAGCATGGGGTGAGAGTCTTTGGATGCATTGGCTGCAGAGAAATGGCTGTTTGGGGGAGGTCAGAGGGTCTATCTACTAGGTGTTCCACTGCTTAACTCCTTAATGGTAATGTGAAAAATGTCACTTTTCTATTATGCAGCAGAACTGGGAGACTTTCATGAAGAAACAGATAAGAAACATTTGGCACAAACCCGGTACTTAGCAAACCAAGACTGTTTAGAGAGCAAGATCATACACTTTCACCAGAAGCACATGTAAGTACCTTAACTGCCACCTGGTTCTTCCAGCATGGAACACTGCAGCTGAAGACAGATCCTTAGAGGCAAACCTTTCCATCAGAGAAGCTTCGGGCCCAAGAGAACACTGAATTCCTCATGAAGCTTTCATGGTGAAGTTGTCATTCATGTTGCATTTGTTAGGCTCATAATTTCTTTCCTCTTGCAGTGGCAGGAGCCCAGCTGAATCTGACATTATGCTACTGGACATAGCAAGGAAGCTGGATATGTATGGCATCAGGCCTCACCCTGCCAGTGATGGTGAAGGGATGCAAATCCACCTGGCTGTTACTCACATGGGAGTACTGGTGTTACGGGTAATAACTCTTTCCTTTAAAGTCCTTCAGCTTTGGATGTTATCTTGGTTCAAACTTGAGTGTTTGTTCCCAAGGTGACTTAGCCCCTCAGTCTTACCACCAGCCAGAAAAAGAGGTGATACTTAGAAGTGTTTCAAGCCCATCTTATCCCCTCAATGTGATTTGCTTCCATTTGCAGTCTGTAACTGTTTTGATTCTGAAGAGCACATACATTAGTTCAGACAAACATGGTAGAGGGAGAAAGTCAAGTGGCTCTTTGGAACTCTTAGACTCCAAATAAGAATGTGAATTTTAGCATCCTAAAAGCTTAGGCTGTTCACAAATCCATCAGAAACAAGTCAAAGGGCCCAAAATGTGGCATTCTCATCCATTTATTGGTTTCATTGGAGGTACCCAGTGTCAGCCAATAGGGAATGGGTGCCCAGTTCTGTCAGCAATTGCTGTTTACTGGATCATCTTTTCCCATGATTTTGTGACTTTGTTTTCCAGGTTAGAAACCAACTCAGGGCTTTTTTTTTTTTTTCCATTAAAACTCACTCCAGGGAATTTGGACAGAAGCTATTTTTTTCCTGTTTTTTTTTTTTTCCAGTCTATTAGGTCTACTCACATCTATGAACTTAGATCTATGTTAAGGGTCAAGAACACTTGCTTAAACTTTAAAATGAAAAGCAGATACCTAGGCAAGTTTGGGAATGAATCACATATGAGAGAGGAAGGGGTAACATCAGACCCACTGACCTGAAGTATCGAATTAAAGCACTGAAGTAAGTCACAAAGCAGATCAAGTACAGACTCGGCTAAAATAATGTTTGCCTTTTCTTTTATTTGGTTATGAACTGTACAGCATGAGAGCCACATTGATGGACAAAAGACCAATGAATCATTGGAATACCTGTTTACACAGGAGGAAAGTTCAACCTATTCCACTCTAACTCTGATCTTTGGTATCTCTGACTGTATGGGAATAGATGGGGAGGGTAGGCGAGCAAGGCCATGATACTAGTTGTGATCTCTTTCAGTGTGAATACTTCTATGGACAGCTGGGAACAATACAACTGCTCTAATTTGTTCAACTGTAATTCAGGCAAAGAATACTTAGTATTGAGTACCTTCCATGTGTTCTTTTTCTTTTTTTAAAATTTATTTAGTTATCTTTAGAGGGGAAGGAGAGAGGAAGAGAAACATCAGTGTATGGTTGCCTTTCGTGCGTTCCCTGCTGGGAACTGGCCTGCAGGGAACTGGCCTGCAACCCAAGCATGTGCCCTGACTGGGAATCAAACCGCGATCCTCTGGTTCGCAGACCTGCGCTCAATCCACTGAGCTACACCAGCCAGGGTCATGTGTTCTTCATCATATTATTCTTTCTTTAAGAAAATGCCACCTTTAATGATATAAAATTTCCATTCCCCAAAATTCATATGTTTTAACTGTATAATTTAATGGTCTTGAGAGCATTTACAGAGTTGGCAGCAATCTATTTATTCATCCTTCTGTCAGTATATTTATTGTGCATTCACTCTGTGCCATTCACTAGAGCTATAGAGGTAAATAGGAATTATCCTGTGAAACTTGCATTCTAACAGGGGGGAAAGCAGATAATGAAACAAGTAATTATTGAGTTGGCCAAAAAATTTGTTTGTTTTTTCCCGTAATATGACTCTAGTAGAGCTTAGTTGTCTTTAACTTCGTTTGAAACAATTTTGTTAAATTGTATGGTAACAGCTGTCATATCAAGATGCATTTAAAGTATATCATAATTGGTGAATTTTTGTAGCCATTTCAATGTTGAAGGTGGAAAAAATATACAACGTTTTTGGCATATTATGCTTTATTATCTCCAGAAAGGTAAAAATGCAATTGAAACACACAAAAAAATTTATTCAGTGTGTGGAGATGAAGCTGTGAGTAATCAAATGTGTCAAAAGTGGTTTATAAAATTTCTTGCTGGAGATTTCTTGCTGGATGATGCTCCATGGTCCAGTAGACTAATTGAAGTTGATAGTGACCAAATCAAGACATTAATTGAGACCAATCACTGTTATAACACGTGGGAGATAGCTGACATACTCAAACTATCCAAATCAATAAAGTTATTGGTGAAGATGAAAAATGTGTCCTTTATTTTATGGAAAAAACATACTGATTTTTTGGCCATCCCAATATAAGCAAACATGATATGCTTTGTGTTCTAAGTACGGGATGCTAAGTAATATATGTGAAAAGGTCATGTGTCCCACCTGTGACACCTTCATTTGCTTCTACCAATGAAGGCTTCATTGGCTTCATAGCTTCTACCAAGTATGATAGGATCATCCTGTGCAAGAGATAGATCAAGGGTAGTCTCGTTCATGAAGTACATTTTGTAACAAGTTTGCATTGTCTTACAAACCAGCTTGCTCTGACTTTCATCCTGAAATCAACAATGTTTTCATTATAGGGAAATACAAAAATTAATACTTTCAACTGGGCTAAAATCCGCAAGTTGAGTTTTAAGAGGAAGCATTTTCTCATCAAACTGCATGCCAATATTTTGGTAAGTAGTTCTCTGATAAATTCTGTTATTTTCTGTTCCTTGAGAGTTCTTGGTTTTTTCTGCAAATGATTTTAATGTGAGTGGCCAAAGCTAGCTGGCAATGAGGGATGATGTGCTCCTTCTTCTGCTTCTATATAAATAAACCCGAGCTTTACTTAGTCATATTCAGAACACAAAGAAATCCTATTTGCAATTCAGAATGAATAAGGCAATAGGAAAATGGGGTGGCTGGGATGAAAGATAAATTTTCTTAGAAACTATTTTTCAGGGATCTGATGAGTCAAATAGAAGTGACCAGATCCAACTCTATGGACATATTCATATTTTCATGTCCGCTCTATTTTATAAAGTACTTTCATCTTCTTTCCTTAAGCAAAAATAATCAAACACCTACTCTATGCCAAATAATTGAACATCTGCAATTTATGAAAGCTATGTGAGTGGTAGGTATATATTAAGGATGTGAGGGGTAGGTGTATATTAAGCAAAAGAAGCAATTATTGGCAAAGGCTTAGTTGTACAGGATAAGACAAAGGTTCTAGAAAGGATGTTCTTTTATGACTATAAAGTAAATGAAAGATATGTATCAACTTACATTGTGACTTACAGAAGATCCAATAGTTTGTGCTTCATTCTCTGGATTAGTCACATAGTACTCTTTAAGAACAAAATGACTACCACAGTCACAATTCTGCCTTATATAGAAACATCAGGGAATTGTATCTAATGTGAAGCTCACGGAGAGTCTCAGGGCTGTATATAGAAATATGGAATGGAATAAGAGATTGGAAGCATCATCAAAGTGGGTAGGTGGGGCTGCTGAAAATATGGCTTCACATCTTCATGGGAAAATGGGGGTAGGTAATGAGTCGAGGGAATAGGAAAAACTTGACTTTTAGGTCTGGAAAGCTAAATTCCCCCAGAGCAGATTAGAATATGCTAAATGAACAATACAAAGCATCACAGAACAAGGCAATGTAGAGAGCAATAAGTGTTTCTAGCAGGTATGTTAAAAAGATCCATGCATATGTAACCATCCTATAAAGCCTGCCATCTATAAGGAAATCTCCTTCCTCCAATTTCCTGCTTTTCACTTATAACTTTTTGTTACCTTGAAAGGTTGCCCTTTGATGTTCATTTTAACCTAATTTACAACTTTATAAAAATGTTCCTGGCAGAGAAGTGAGGATAAGAAAGTGTTTGAGGTGAGGGGTGTGTGCAAGGTAAGATTTGCTTCTTAGACAAGGTTCTGTTTTGAGCAGTGGCCCTCATTGTTCCTTGAAATGTAGCCAATGATTTGGTTTCAGTAGGTGTGAGGCCTGTAGAGAGCCAAGTGGAAAACCAGAAGCTGCATGGGCACCTGGACCAGTAGTTTGGAAGGTGTTGGACTTTGAAGGTCTTTATATTCCTGAAGGCTGTTTTGCTTGATGGAAATTGGTTTATACAGGTATTGTGCAAGGACACCTTGGAGTTCACCATGGCCAGCCGAGATGCCTGCAAGGCTTTCTGGAAGACTTGTGTGGAATACCATGCTTTCTTCAGGCTCTCTGAAGAGCCCAAATCAAAGCCCAAAACCCTACTCTGCAGCAAGGGTTCCAGTTTTCGCTATAGGTAATTTAATATTGCACATAGGTAAACTACACACACAATTTTTCAATAACATGGAAGGCGGTAGGGGGAGTTTGAATTCTAGAAGCAATAATGAATTAATTTCAATCACTTAAAAATGATATTCTTTACTGCTCATTCTCTGTGTGACACATTAAGGCAGTATTTTCTAAATGGGAGGCAGTGGGAAGGGAATGCCCTACTTAAGGGGTTAGATCAGAATCTCTGCGAGGATGAGGAGACATGCAGTTTGAAAAAACATATTCAATAAAACTTGTTTTGCTTATTTGCAACTTACATGCGAGCCATGGAAAAGAAAGCTCAATGTAACACCTTTCAGTGGTGGTTAGGTAAAAGATAGTGTGACAAACCATGAGAGGGACTAAGGGATTTAAAAATTTGAGTAATACTGCAGTAGAAGAATGGAAGTGAGGTCTAAGTAAGATCTTGTTTTTACTTGAAGACACCACACTAGGAATTCTTTGGAAGAAACTTTCAAAGCTCCTTGCTAAGATGAAAGTATTCTAATCAAACACTTCCCATATGGGATTTTTCAAATAGTGGAAGTATGCTCTATTAAGAACTGAGATTTTAGGACTTCCGCCAAGATGGAGGTATAGGTGGAAGCACTGTGCCTCCTCCCACAACCAAGTTTAAAAAAAAACAAAGTTTTAGCAACGAAAACACAGATGAAAACACAGAAAACTGAACTTCACGGAAGTTTGACAACAACAAACCCTTCAGCGAAACCGGTAAGAGGGGCAGAGCCAGCAGCAGAGCGGGGTTGGGCAGGAAAGATCCACGCGACCAACCCAGGCACGCGACCCAGGTGCGCCGGCAGCCTTAGGCAGATCCCAGGTGTGAAGAAGCAGGCGGACCAACTGAAGGTACAAGGCATTGGACTCACTGAAGGCGCAGGGCTGCGGACTCACTGAAGGCTGACCACGGTCACACATTTGAGCACAGATAAACCAGGGAAGGAGGGAGCGGTAAACCAGCGACCTGGGTGGTCCCGCCCTGGTGAACAAATAAGGCTCTGCTCCTCATACCTAACAGGCACAAACAGATCAAAACATGGCTCAAGAAGAACTTAGAGCCCCAGAGCTGATAAATCTAAGCAATGAAGAAATAGCCAAACTTTCAGATGCACAGTTCAAAACACTGGTGATCAGGATGCTCACAGAACTGGTTGATTTTAGTCACAAATTGGAGGACCATATGAAGGCTAAACTAATTGAAATGAAGGGAAATGCACAGGAAACAAATAGTAATGGAAAGGAAACTGGAACTCAAATCAAAGGAGTGGACCAGAAAGAGGAAAAAAATTACCAAACAGAAAAGAATGTAGAAACAAGAATTCAGAAAAATGAGGAGAGGCTAAGGAACCTCCAGGACATCTTTAAATGCTCCAACATCCGAATTATAGGGGTATCAGAAGGGGAAGAGAAACAGCAAGTGGAAATCTTATTTGAACAAATAATAAAAGAGAACTTCCCCAATCTGGCAAAGTAAATAGACTTCCAGGAAATCCAGGAAGCTCAGAGAGTCAGTCCCAAAGAAGTTGGACCCAAGAAGGAACACACCAAGGCACATCATAATTATATTAGCCAAGATTAAAATGAAGGAGAGACTCTTAGAAGCAGCAAGAGATAAGGGGACAGTCACCTACAAAGGAGTTCCCATCAGACTGTCAGTGGATTTCTCAAAAGAGACCTTACAGGCAAGAAGGGGCTAGAAGGAAGTATTCCAAGTCATGAAATCCAAAGACCTACATCCAAGATTGCTCTACCAAGCAAAGATTTCATTTAGAATGGAAGGGCAGATAAAGTGCTTCTCAGATAAGATCAAATTCAAGAAGTTCATCATCACCAAGCTCTTATTATATGAAATGTTAAGGGGACTTACCTAAGAAAAAGAAGATAAAAAAGATGAATAGTGAAAGGATAGCAAACTCACCATTATTAAGAACCACACCTAAAACAAAAGCAAACTAAGAGGACAGCTAGATCAACAGCAGAACCATAGAAATGAAGATCACATGGAGGTTTAGCAACGGGATTGGGAGGAGGAGAAGGGGGGAGAAGGTACAGAAAATAAGTAGCATAGATGGTAGGTAGAAAATAGATAGGGGGGAGGGCAAGAATAGTATGGGAAATATAGAATCTAAAGAACTTGAAACATGTGGTCATAAACTAAAAGGGGGGAATCGTGGGGGAAGGGGTGTGCAGGGTAGAGGGGAATGAAGGGGGGGAATAGAACAACTGTAATGGCATAATCAATAAAATTTATTTAAAAATAACTGAGATTTTTAAAACATACATATTTTTGATGGAATCTTTGCAAAATGTAATCTATAGTTCCTCACCTTCTTAAACAGGTGATACTGATCATATTTTGCCATTTTTAATGGCCTAAATAATTGTAAATATCACTCACTATCCTCTGCAGGTAGCTATACATAGTACAGTGATGGTCTCAGGGTGGGGGAGACACGTCAGACTCTGTACCTCAGTGATAAATGACTCATACTTGTGGAGTTTTATTGTCCTTGTGATTTCTTTTTTTGGCTCTTGTGTTCTCCTAGCAGTAAACTGGCTTTTTTGCTAGTCTGTCTGACTAGAGCAAGCCTCTTTCTGTTCAGTTGCTGTTCTTCTGTTAAAGATTAGGAAACCAGTTAAATAGCCTGATTAGAAATCATGTGTAAATTTGGAAATAGGGAAACTACGTATAAAGTGTAATAGTTTCAAAGGCCAGAATTTTTTACTGTTATATAGCTGAATTCAGAGGCTTTTAAAATAATTATGGGTTCTGAGTAGTTGAGGTTGTACTATGCCTGATGCTTAGTTAAGTGGGTATTATCATTAACACAGTGGTCAAAGATTCATGACATATGTCATCCATCCAGACTTCTGATTTCCACAATATATGAGGCTTTAGAGTTCTAGTAGCCTACTGGCTTAAAACTAGCATTAATAATATATTTATTTTCTTCTTATAATAGTGGAAGAACCCAAAGACAACTTTTGGAATATGGAAAAAAAGGGAGATTGAAGAGCTTGCCATTTGAAAGGTACATAGTTTTGTTTCATGCTTTTGTGTTGATTTCAAGTTGAATTCAGAAATTTACGTGTATTCTGTACTCACATGAAGACCATTTCAATTCATTCTTCATTTGGTAATTTCAGGAAACATTATCCATCTCAGTACCATGAACGACAGTGCAGGTCCTCACCAGACCTCCTCTCTGATGTCTCAAAACAAGTAAGCTTTCTGAATGTGCCTTTTTTTTTTTTTTAGGTAAGTGTAATGCATCATTTCAAAAGCTTCCAAGAATTGATTCTATCAGAATCTTCCAGTGTGTAAAAGGTTACTATGTTTTAGTAGGTTAGCCTCCCAGGAAGGTCTGTTAGCTCAGTCTTTCCACCTAACAGAACACCATTTTGTCCACTACCACTGATGGGTACCTTATAGACTGGAAGGATCTGGCACATCTTAAAATTGCAATCTGTAATGCTAACATCTTGGAAAATGTTGAGACAGATTAATTGCTATGACTCTGTTTTTTAAAAGTTAAAGGCTCCGTTTTTTTATGTATAAAAATCTTAAGTCTTAGAGAAAGCTATAAGGTGTTGGGTTAAGGTTTTAAAGTACTTTTACTATATAATTCTGTAACTTAAGAACAAAGTGCTATTCTCCTGAAATGGTGAGATGATGGTTTCATTTGAGAGTTATAGTATGAAGCATGTTAATATTTCTTTCACTGTCACTAAAAAATTAATTATAAGTCTCATAAACTCTCATGTCTTCAATCAAGTATACAGGCATTTTTTATTTGGAATGAATCATATATATCATTGAAATGTACCATCTAAAATATGACCTCATGCCATTCATAGGTCTCCTCAACACCATTTTACAGAAAATAGGGAGGAGGCTGGAGAAGTGAGGTTAGAAGATTTGCCTAAGATCACATAGCAAGTCAATGGCAGAGCCAGTACCAGAAGTCAGAACTCCTGGCTCATTGATATAATTACTAAACCATATTGCTTAAAGAACAATGTCTGCTGAAGTACATAATAAACTTGGAGGCTGGTGAAGTGGGATGGCATTGAGACAGGATAGTGTCATGTGTATTTTTGCACTGGGATGGCACTGAGACAGGAGAGTGTCATGTGTATTTTTGCACATGAATTAGGATATGGTACAAGTTATTACCCTTTCTATATGTATTTATCAACCCTAGAATAGAAGGTGATTTGAAATAACTTTGTGAAAAACCACCTTTGCAAAACTTAAGGCTAATTTAGATCCCTGATCCCACCCTAACCAAATGGCTTTTTCCTTCTTTCACCAACATGTCCTTTCTCTCAAGGTGGAAGATTTGAGACTAGCATATGGCAATGGGTACTACCGGAATGTGAATGGAGTGCATGCATCTGAGCCTGTGCTAGACAGTAGAAGGAGAAACTCTTCAGTAGAGGTGACATTTGCAGCCGAGCTGGAGCTTTCCAAACCAGAGGCAGATCCCACGTCATTACATCAGTCGCATAGCAGTTCTTCTTTCCCTTTTAGTTATACTGATTGTGTCTTTAACACTGACCCTGATCCTGACAATGATCCCAGAGACTATTTTGAGGAAAGAAGTCCTCTAAGCTCCTTCCAAACAAGTTACAGTTTTGCTGACAATCACATGAACACATCTTCTGGCCTTGTAAGAGTGAATCCAGCAAAGAGGCTAACTTACACAGATGTGCCCTATATTCCTTGTGTTGGTCAGCAGGTTGATATTACGCCTCCCCAAGTCTTTTTTTATGTGGACAAATCACCCCAGGTTCCCAGATGGTCTCCAAACATGGCAGAAGAAAGGGAAAGGCCAGACAGCTGTCTAGATCCCACTGCAATGAGGCCAGCCAAAAAAAGCCCGAGGAATATCAGAATGAGGAGCTTTCAGCAAGACTTTCAAGAACTCCAAGAAGCTATACCCCGGACTAGTGATAGCAGCAACATCAATGCAGATCTAGAAGATACAAACTTAGAAGATGCATTTGCATGTAATATCCAACAGCAAACCCCTAAACGGTCCCAGAGCCAAACAGACATGAAAACTATCCGTTTTCCTTTTGGGTCAGAATTTAGACCTTTAGGACCTTGTCCTGCTCTGAGTCGCAAAGCTGACCTATTTACTCATATGCTTCCAGAGCAGAAGTTTCCAACAGTTCTAATGGATCAGAGAACAGCAGAAAGGTATATAGCTAGTGAATCCAGTGATTCTGAATCAGAGATTCTTAAACCAGACTATTACTCATTGTATGGTAAAGGAATGAAATCGCCCATGGCCAGAATCCGCTTGTCTTCTGGTAGTCTACAGCTAGAAGAAGATGAAAATGTTTCTTTTAATACACCAACTGCTGAAGACAGGACATTGTTAAAACCATGTAATTATTTTTTAGCTTAAAAGTGTAACTCTGTGACTATTTCTGTACCAGTTCTGTTATCAACTTAGGTAAAAAGAAGGAACCTTCTAAAGAAACAATTTTCTTAGTTCCTATTCATTGGTATTAAGGGAATCTTCTAAGTTTATACACTTAGTTTATGAAAGATTCAATCGCAGCCTTGTTTGTCAAGCTCCCCTCTTCTATTCCCTCTGAAGGGACTCTGGAACATGCCCTCTCCTCATTAGCACTGTGGTGAAGTGAGATGGGTATCTGTCATCTCCGTGACACATTTCCCCATAGAGACATTATAAATGACAGTCAGGCTCCTTAACACTGAAGAATGGTGACAGTAGGTGTTGGCATATAGAATTGGTTTCTGATGTCATTTAGTGATTTAGTAGATTGTGACTGTGTTAGTCATTTTGTTCTTAAAGAGTACTATGTGACTAAAAGTTTCTATCCTCATTATGTGTGTGGTGCCCAGTAAAAATAGTCCTGTAATATTAAGAACTTCAATTTTTATAACATATGTTAGGGGGAGCATGGCCCTCCTAAAGCTCAGGAACACAGGATGGTGTCATAGATTCTCTCAACAGAACATAGTTTATAATTTATCTAGGACTTGGTAGCATTCTAAACCTCAGAAATTAATGAATTAATCAATTTCTAAAGCCAGATATCTGCCTGCTGAAGATAATATAATGTTTGATATTACTTTTCTATTCTTTTTTTCTTAGCTATCTATTATATGTAATGAAAGGTAAAAGCGAACTGTTGGTTTGTTTATCTAATCTCATACAAGGAGTTATTTTTTGGTATGTTTTGGTGCATATATATATATATAGGCAAGGAAATGATATGAATAGTACTTTAATAAGAGTGATGGAAATCCATTTATTAAAAGACAAGTTGTAAGTATTATCTTCCTTTTGCTTTAATACATTTCAGGACTGATTGGATCTAGCCTGTTACTAAGGGGAGGAACAGTTAAAGAACAAGTAAAAGAAGGGAGGAAGGTGGGAATGTATAGCCATGTATAAAGAAGTGTTAGAATTGGGTTAGCTGAAAAAAAAAAAGGACAGTACTAAAACCAGACTGAGTTAATAAACCAGAATTCTATTTTTGACCTATTCAGAATTTTTCTACTATTCCTCCTGGAAGGCATAGCATTCTATTTAACATTATTTTAAATTGATTTTTATGTTAAGTACAACATATTTACAAGATAATGTTAAGTACTAACTTCAAAAAATAATGTGATTACATAAGCAAGTTATTTTTATATATGACTTAATTGAGAAAAGATGGATGGAATGGGTTCCTTACTCTCCTAGTCTTTACATCATAAAAATTCCTTTTAATCTACTTCCCTCTGTACCTTTCCCATATTCTAGCATTTTCTTTCCTGCTCCAAAAAAATCATATCCAGTAACTTACAAGCCAACAACAGCTAGTAAGTAAGAATATACAGGGATGGGCAAAAGTAGGTTTACAGTTGTTTATATGGAAAAAAACATACAGGTTATGATTGTGCAGGATAGAAGTAGAGGACACAGGGGAGACGGAGGGAAGGAGGGAGGGAGGGAGGGAGGGAGGGAGGGAGGGAGGGGGAGGGAGGGGGAGAGAGAGAGAGAGAGACAGAGAGAGAGAACATAGATTTGTTGTTCCTTTTGTTTATGCAACCATTGGTAACTTTTTGTATGTGCCATGACTGGGGATCGAACCTGCAACCTTTGACTATCAGGACAACATTCTAACCAACTGAGTTACTTGGCCAGGGACAAGATATGATAATTACAATAGTTTTATTAACTCTGTGTTTTGCATATTTGCAATGGTAAACCTACTTTTGCTTACCCTTGTACTGAAGTCCAGTCACCTATATATTAATTCTATACATCTCAACGCTATATTAAATTTATCTTTGGCCTTTTCTCTAGGAAAAACTCAAATTCATTTAGGCTTATATACTGTTTCTTGTTTCAATTTCTGTAAGTCTTTGTAAACAAACTTTGTTTTCTTTAGAGACCTATAGGATTCAAATCTTTTTAAGATTTTCTAATAAAAACCATAATTAGGGGTGACCATATAATTTATTGTCCAACCTAGGACATTTTTGAGTGAAAGAGGACTCTTTCAATAATTTTGTCAGGACAGGAGGCAGAAATGAAGATATATATTCACTGTAGCTATAATCAATACTTAATAAAATATAAATATGTTTTAGTTTTCAGTGGAAATATTGGTGTTAAAGTTCCAACAACAAGTTAAAGGGCAAAGGAGAGATAATATGAAACAATTAAAATACAATATACATTCCTCAAGAAAACAAACATTGAGGGCCATGAAATTTAAATATTTATTTTAAACCCCAAAACACTTCCCTTAGAAACAGTTTATAGGACTAATAACAATAATGAATAGGCTATACAATTTCTATTCATGATGCAGTTGTGTTGTAAATGTTTCAAATAATAGATTTACAAATTGGTTGCTTTTACTTTTAGAAAAATATTTATTTAATTCATGAGTGGCAAATTTATTCTCTGACCTCTACAGTTTATAAACTGTAACTGAGTTTCAGTTATATAGAATGTGAAAATTTTAACTGAAATATTACTTCAAAATACAATGTGTTAAAAATAATTGTGAAAGTATAGGCACTAATGAAAATAATTTTCTTGGCATACTGACATGACAACAACTTATTCAAGTGTCTTTACTATTACAAAAAAAGAGGTAATGGCCACTTTGACTAAAAAGTGTATTCTTAAAGAATCTCTTTTTTCTAATATTTAGCAATTTTCAGATTTTTAAAAATGACTAAATAACCTTTATGTAAAAACTAAATTGTGCAATTCCAAACAATAAAACATTAACTATTAAAATTAACTAGCATGAATAATTCTACAACTACAGCTCAGAACTTAGGCAGGATATATATACACACACATACATACTGGGCTTAAAAAAGATATTACCCACATAACAGTACCATAAATATAACTGAAAATTAACAGTACAGTCTAACTTACCTTTGTTCAGACAGAAATCATCCCGTACTATGATTATTTTCATATGAACTAGAAAATGCCTATTTAAATACCCTTTCAAAAATGAACAAATGATACTTATGTACTGGGTAATTATGAAGAATAGAAATGTATAAATAGTTTATAGGATATTTTACTACCATGATAAAACTATGCTAGTATAACCCTGGCTGGTGTGGCTCAGTGGATTGAGTGCCAGCCTGTGAACCAAAAATATGCTGGTGTAAATTATATTCCTACCTGTTGATCAGGTATTTAATCACATGATAATCAGCTTTTTAAGCTCCCTAAATCCAAGGACATAATATGCTATTTAAATTGAAGATGTTAAAAATAAAGCCTGACTAATTCCTACAGTATTACCAAAATTCCATCCTTGGCTAATTGGTATTGTATTAAATCCCCAACCATGTTAAATAAGGGTTAATTGCCTCTTCTCAAAGAGAAGATAAATACTGCACACCAAGAAGTATGTCAGTTGCTACATGTTGCCTATAAATGCTTTAAACACGGGGCTCTTCAATGTGATCATCACTGAGCTACCTGAAATTTCATACCAACTCTGCAGAGGAGTCAATACCTTTCCAGGTATCATTTCTAAGAGTTTATTAAAACCTTCTATTTAAGAAGCTGTGGCTTGTTTTCACCTCCCCACCAATAGTCATTTGTAGAATATGCTTGAGTTAAATATTTTAGATGCTTGATGATTTACGAAAGTTGAATATTTAGGGTGACTCTGAAAAACCTGTATATTTCATCAGTGTACAGTTAACTAAAGATCAAAACATGAAAGGTATTCATCCTAGTAACATATATAATAATATCTAAAAGCAAAACTGTATCTCAACATTTACTAGAAAACGGATGAAACTACAGTATTAAAATTTTTCCTTACAAAATATTTTTTAAAATATAAAATGATAAATGCCATCACAAAATAGTTGAATAGCTTCTTCCATATCTTCAATGATACAAAGATCCAAAAGGCACATGGAGCTCATGAGTTAAACATTATTAAGCTTGAAGTAACTTTGGTGGTTTCTTTAGGTCTGTATGAAATAAAAGCCAATAACAAGAAGTTTCTTAGGGGGATTCATCTGCTGAACACCTGTAAAATTAAGAAAAAACTTAAATTGATATATAACTATGCATGTTTATATTTCTCATCTGTATGACATCTGCAATAAAAGAACTGATTCAGCAAACTAAGTCCTTTCTATTGAATCCTATCATGTTGATGTTAAAATATAAAGAAGTTTAAAAATTCTTTCTGCATCTGATTTTACAACTATCATTTGATTTGTTTTACATACTTGTAAATAGAGGGGAGTTTTCCATTAAAATCTAAGGAATTTTAAGAGAGGCTTTAATTTGTGAGTACAAGTAGCCTATCTACATAAGATAAAAAGATCTCTGAGAGTATGGGCTTTTATAGGTTGTATAGTTTGTTCCTACTTGATGCCAATAGCATCACAATTATGGTCTCTGGTTCAGCTCCCAGTCAAGGCACATGCCTGGGTTGTAGACCAGGAGGTCCCCTGTAGGGGGCACACAAGAGTCAACCACACATTGATGTTTCTCTCCCTCTCTTTCTCCTTCCCTTCCCCTCTCTAAAAATAAATTAATTAAAAATTAAAAAAAAGAAATATAAGGATGCACTGAGAAGTGACATAATGGGATTAAAGCTAAAATTAGCATTGCTTTCTAAATTGCTTGAGCTAAGGAGCTGTGTATGCATACAAAAGACTTGTTAAAAAGATAATTATAATAGAATGTAAGAACTTTATTAAATATGGACAAAATTTTAACCAACAGTTTAAGGCACAGTATAGAAACTAAAGTTAATTATAAGGAATATTCATAGTCTTCATTGAGTTCCTGTACCTAAAATCACTTCCTTAACATTTTTAATGGGAATTAAATTTATGAACGTTATCAGTGGAAACTATGTAAATGGTATGATGAGAGTAGTGGCAAAAATGAAAGCATTCCTAAATTGTGTTTACAAGGGCCCCAATAAAAATATGCTCTATACGTAACCTTTAGTCTATACTCCTACTGGCATAGAAAGATGAAAAAAAAAAAAACCTAAGCCACTTCATTCAGTGGATAATTACTTTGTAATGCCTGAAGACAATAATCCCAAAAGGTAGTGTTTAAGATGCATAACAAACAAGACAGTTTTAATTTTTTTCTTTTTCCTCTTTTAATTCAATTTATTGGGGTGACATTGATTAATAAAATTATATAGGTTTAAGCACAAAAAAGAAAGTCATAGACACAGATAAGAGTATGATAATTACCAGAGGGGAAGGGGGTGGGAGAGGTAGAAGAGGGTAAAGAAGGGACAAATGGTAATGGAAGAAGAATTGACTTGTGGTAGTGAACACACCATATAATATACAGATGATGTATTATAGAACAAAACAGGTTTTAAGCATACAACTATTAAGACGTGACTTTGATGCTTAAATCAGGGTAGTTAGATTACATCCTAAATTAACATCCAAAAGAAAATGTCAAAATAATTTTTGAAAAAATGACATTAAAAGCTTACTTTTGAAATTTTTCAATTAGTTTCTTCACCATTTTATCTGTGATGCCAGGACAGGCAGCTTCAGCCACAGCAATACTTTTCTCGAGTTCTTCAATTGCCCGATTCCTGGTAGCATTATTTTCATCTTGCTGTTTAAGCTGAGAAAGATCAATAGCTATAAGATTTAAAATTACTATACTTCTTAAGATATATATCCAATGATGATGAATCTGTACTTACTTCAGCAAATGCAGGTGTGATTATCATAGACAAACAGCTGAGAGTTTGCACAAGGTCTTTCTCCTTTGAACAAATAATATAGATTAATACATATGAAAGTAAAATATTCACTCATGTTTTTGTTAGTTATTCTATAGTAAATGTGCATCAATATGAATCCTACCTCCACAATGCCCAATATAAGATAAATCTCTATGCTTTCTTTCCATTACTAATTCTCATCCATCATCTACAAAGCTTCTAACTGACAGGATTACAATAGATAGCCATGATTCCACTGGATATATATGTACCTCCAGGTAAAATGCATTTAAAGTTTTTTTTAATTTAATTTATTTATCTTTAGAGGGGAAGGGAAGGAGAGAGCGAGAGAAACATCAATGTATGGTTGCCTTTTGTGCGTCCCCTGCTGGGAACTGGCCCACAGGGAACCTGCCTGCAACCCCGGTATGTGCCCTGACTGGGATTCGATCCGCGATTGTCTGGTTCGCAGGCCCACGCTCAATCCACTGAGCTACACCAGCCAGGGCGCATTTAAAGTTTTAACAGTGGCCAAATAAATTACTTCTATGATCTTTTCTTAATTACCTCAAAGCTAATAGCAAATGAAACATACTAGGTACACAGTGAGGTAGACAGACATTTAGGGGTATTAAAGTGTAACTATTTTGGCCATCAAAACCTCACTACATAGTTCAAAGAAGTCTATCAAAGGAAGTAATCACATCCATGTACATACTGCCCCATTCTGCAGTTTCTTTGGATCAGGCTTCTTTCGCACGGTGGTAAAGTTCCATTCAGGATGAGTATTATTTTCTCTGCTGGTGGATTCCCTTAAAATGATTGCCAAAGATATTTCAATAAGTTCCTAAATAGTTCAGCTTGGTGAAAATGACAAATCAATGCAGTGGAACTCTGAAGAGAGACTATCCCAGTATATTAAAAAACATAGTACATGAAAACATTTGATCTCAGTTTCCAGTAGATACTGCATTTTACTAAAGAGTAGCAATGGTTCTCAATTCCAGGTATGTATCACAATCACACATGGAGACCTCTTACCGTATATATAAAGCCCTTTACATAACCCCCTTCACTGACTGGATCAGGATCTCCTGTACTGTGGCTTACTTTTTTTAAGGCTCCTTGGGCAACTCTCATGGGCAGCTAATGTGCATTCTAACATTCATTAGAATATGATACAAAACTATCCTGTTACTTTTTTTACACCTTTCAAAATTTAGGCAATTTCTTTTTTTAAAATTTAATCTTCATTGTATTGTTTCCCATTATCATTTAGTCCCTTTATATCCCCCACCCCCAGCAATCAACACACTGTTGTAAAACAGGAGTCTTTGAGAGTATTCAGCCAGTGGAGGAATAAATTCTGGTGTAGCCTACTGACTTTTCTAGTCTAAATTAAGTTATGGACTTAGAAGTTAAAATGTTAGTGTGAATGCAGTTAAAAAGCAGTGCAATTTTTAGAGGGTATAAATCTATATAAATAAATATATCAGGTGCTTGAATAATGTTGTTTCATTATAATGCTGATAAGGGTTCAAAGATTCCCAGCTGGGACCATTATCTCTGTGGAGTTTAACATTCCCATTTATGTAAGTATGGTTTTTTCCAGATACTCTGGTTTCTTTCCACATCCCAAAGATGTGCATGTGAGGTGAACTCATGTGTCTACATTGTCCCAGTCTGAGTGAGTGTGGGGTGTGGTGACTCTGATGGAAGGGTGTCCTGTCCAGGGTGGGTCCTACCTTGTACCCTGAGCTACCCAGAGAGGCTCCAGCCACCCCAGACCCTGAACTACAATAAGTGTACTGGAAAACCATTGTTTGACTTGTTTTTATTCACCTTTCTTAAATGGATGTATAGCTGACATTTATTTCAATGCTTTATTTAGAAGTTTGGTGATGTTTTTGTGAACAGACATATTTAACTCTTTTTTTATATTGATTGCTGTATGGTAAAATTCTTTTCTTTTTTTTTTAAATTATTTTCATTATAAGACATTTTGTTTCATGTTGCAGTTTTCAAGAACCTACCAATGATGTTAAGTGAGGACGTATTCTATATAAATGTACCAGTCTGATTATGGTTTGGTCCATAGACAAGAAGTGGAAAAGTCCTGCAGGTCAGTTCTCCAGAGGGATTTAGCAGGTTGACAACAAAGCATGAGAAGATACAGCCCCTTATCACTCTGGGAAAACTAATATAGCCCCTTTAATCAAATGTTATTCCAAAATATTGTAATATACTCAAGTATCCACTAGGGGTTAGACTAAGAACATGTAAAACTAGAGCAATTCACTTCTAAGAAAAACATGTTTTCAAATTCACTGTATTCCACAGACTGATTTTAAAAAGACTTTCACAGTTTTTAAAGTAAAAGTTTAGAATATGGTTTATATTTTATGCTAGGGAAAGCATATTGGATCATAGTTAAAATAATATTAAAGCAAGCTAGCTAACTAAATAAAAATTAATCTGTACATACGAATCAGAGCCCTCAGAATCAGATTCATCATCACTGTGCCCTTCTGCCTTCCATCTCTTAAATCGATCGATCAATTCAGTCAGATAAGAAGTCTTCTTTGAGTTTTTTACAATGAATTTGTGTTTCAGAAGTTCTTTAGCTGTAGGACGCTAAGGAAAAAATAAAGCATGTGTGAATATTTCTAGGTTCTTTATGAATGAAGGGGGTAAGAAATCACTCCAGTTATTAAGTTGAAGGCATAAAAGTACATCTGTAGGCATGAGGACAACTGAAACACCATAGGACAATAGCTAATTCTACTTCTGAAGTGGCTCAAGGCAACCAAATTAAACTCATTGCTTTGGTACCAATTTGTTAAAGCTCACTGGACAAAAGATGGCCTATCTACCAGCAACCTGGCAGGTAGGGCCTTCCCAAAATCAGAGAAAGACAAGGTAGGATTTTGAAAATAAAGTAAAAATTCAAAACCATTTCAAAATAGCACTTTAAAGTACTGCTATTGTATTTACTATAAATTGAAAAAAATGGATGAAAACTAGCAAGATTGTAAGTTTATTAGCTGTACACATTTGTATGAGCCTCAGATTAATAAATTCATATTGTATCTAAATATAAATATCAGGTGGTGTGGTGGTTATTGCCCCCCAGTATTTTATTAATATCAGAATAATTATTATCAAGTTAAAATAGTTATGTCAAACTGAGGCAGTTCTTTTTTTTCTTCTATTTTTATTTTTAATTCCTATATCATTAACAACAAACAATACTAAAATAAATATCCTCATATATGTTTGAAAGACCCTCAAAATTTGAGTTTTAATTTGTTTTAGATACCTTCTATAAGTGGAATCATGTAGTATTTGTTCTTCTGTGATTGGCTTAATTTCTGTAATATTACAGTTCATCCATGTTGTCACATATGGCAAGGCTTCCCACATTTTTAAAGGCTGAATAATATTCTGTTGTGTGCATATGCCACGTTTTTAAAAATTCATTTATTTTAATTGTTGTTCAAGTACAGTTTTCTGTCTCTTACTCCCATCCCAGCCCACCCCCCAGTGCTCCCCACCTTCTTCCCATTACCACCCCCCTTAGTTTTTGTCCATGTGTCCTTTATACTTGTTCCTGTAAACCCTTCCCCTTTTCCCCTGAAACTCCCTTCCCTCTCCCCTCTGGTCACTGTCAGCCTGTTCTCTATTTCAGTTCTTATATATTTCTACAATAGTTTCTATTTTTAAGTATTTTATTTATTTATATTTAGACAGGAGAAGGGAAGGAGAAAGAGAGGGAGAGGAATATTAAAGTGTGGTTGCCTCGCACATGCCCCCAACTGGGACCTGGCCCACAATCTAGGCATATGCCCTGACTGGGTATCAAACTGCTGATTCTTTGGTTCAAAGGCCTGTGCTCAATCCATTGAGCCACACCAGCCAGGGCTCTACAATAGTTTCTAGAAGTTACCAGACAGATTTTATTTTTAGAACAGTAAAACAACTATAATTAAATTTGCTAGGTAAATGAGTGGAGCTCACTAGACTGCAGAAAATGTACACAACTTTATTTTGTAATTGCTAAACATTAAAAATAATGAAGTGAAAATATAACTTTTTATAAAAAGTAAAAACATAGTTGAATAAAAATCACTGTGAATAGTCACACATATATTTTAATAATGACATCCTATTAAATGAATATTATTTTGAAAATTTCTCCCCCCCCAAATAGGAAATGATCATTAGAATGAGAAAGAAGCTACTGACCATGCAAAAAAGAAAAAAAAAACATAGAGGGGAGAGAAAAAAAAGAAACTAAGGATCTTGTTAGGAACTGAACAGAATTAGCAACATAGAAAGAAGAACCAGATTCCTGGATGGATCTTAGACAATTTTCACATGCATTATATTCCTCACTATAGAAAAAAACACATTTGTTGCATATAGATCTAATAATAGGAAATAGTGGCCTCAGATACTCACAAATGATGGATCTTTGTTTAGGCAAGCATCAATAAACTCCTTAAAGGACTTAGTAAACTCTCCGACAAGAGTTGGAGGATTGTTTTTAGGAATAAGAAACAAAACTCTCATTGGATGCATATCTGAGTTAGGCGGCTCTCCCTTGGCCAGTTCAATAGCAGTAATTCCCAATGACCAAATGTCAGCCTAAGGTTAAAAGAAAGAAAAAAAAAACCCCTTGAAATTCCATTCCAAAATACTGCCACAAAATTGCCTGTGGAATCTAATGGTCACAACAATATTAAAGTGTCTGAAGAAATATGATGTTAATAAATTTCTGTTAATAAAATTCATTTATTTTTTAAAAGTATCAAATTCCCTACTTTGTGCCAAGTAGCATATTCTAGGCACTAAAGATTCAGGTGGTGGGTACATAAACCAGACAAAAATCCCTAGTCTCAAGGGGCTTAATGTTCCAGTAGAAGAGACAGATAAGTGAATAATACGATGGCAGATGGTGCTAAGCTCTGTGAAGAAATTAATTCAGGATAAGAAAATAATGAATGATGGAGTTAAAGGGGCTGTACATTTACACAGATGGCTAGGGAAGACTACCCTAAGTAGGTAATGCTTAGAGCAGAGAACTGACTAGGAGAAAAGTTATTCCAGACAGAGGAAAGGGTTAAGTGCAAAAGCCTGAGACCAGAGTGTATTTGCTAAGTTTTTGAAACTGCAGTGAGGCCACAGTGGCTGAAACAGATAGAATATAGAGGAGAGTGATATGAGATAAAGCTAAAGAGGTAGACAAGGGCAAGATCCTAGTGAGCCATGTATGTGATAGCATGGAATTTGAATTTTGTTCCAAGTGGGATGGAAGGAAATTGAAGGGAAAAGAGTTTGAACATTATCAGCAACAAGAGAACTTATAATTTAGCAGCAACATTTGCCAGAACTCTAGAAATACTTTAGAAGGGAGAAAAATTAAGGCAGTTTATTAAGTAGGACATTGTGTTATATAGACGTTATTATCAAAAACGAAACAGCTTATACAGGTAACACTTTACTTTTGAGTCATAAGCCGACTGTTGAATAACTTCAGGAGCCATCCAAAATGGTGTCCCCACAAAGGTATTTCTTTTAATTTGTGTATCTGTCAGCTGGCCAGCAACTCCAAAGTCAGCAAGTTTAACATCTCCTTGTTCTGAGAGCAAGACATTAGCAGCTAGGAGGGGAAAAGAAAAACCAATGAAAAAAAAATTCAGCTTCCTCAGAATGCATCTATTTTGCTTAGGTTAATATTAAATTTTTGTATACCTTTTATGTCTCGGTGGATTTTCTTTTCTGAATGCAGATAGTCCAGACCTTTCAAAATCTCCTTTAGCATGGTAGCAATCTGGAACTCATCAAATGGACCAGCTCGCAGCTTAGAGGGAAACACACACACGCATATATGAAAGTTTAAAGCAATAAAGTTCAAACTTGATATTGCCTTTGAAATAAGGGAATCAGATGTATGAAGCAGTTCTGTTTATTAAACCAATACTTAAATATATGAGAAAAATGTAAAAGGTGAGGGAAGACAGTAAAAAAGGTAAGTCAAAGGATTAGAATGGTTTTTAAATGATTGAGTTTAATCTTGAAATAATACAAGCAGTGTTACCTATACACTAGCTTCAAATTTTGAGGTTCTTAAATATTTACATCAAAAATTTAAGACACACTTATATAATGACAAAACTACCTTTCTTTTTTTCAGATAGGGAAAATGGCTACTTAAATTTTAAGAGTTATTAAATATTTACAGTGAACTTATTTTTAGCTCAGACAGTCCATAAGATTTCCACAGCAACCCAATTTGATCATACAGGTCACCTGTAGCACAGTTCTTAGCATTTATACATTTTAATAACACTGTAAAGGCATAGAGACTTTTTGGGACTCAAATTTAAAATTTAGCCTGAAGTATAATAATTAAACTATTCAGACTCTCACTGCGAAAAAAAATCAAATCATGGAAGGATAGGGCTTTTCAAATAAGTCTAACACATTTTCCTTTCTTCCCTCATCCCTGTATCAAAGCCAATAGTTCCAACTGGAACACAAGGGAAGCAATGATTAGGATTCAGGGGAACTTGTAATGGAATATCTGAAAATCTCCCTTTAAAATAAACGGTTATTTTAAAATTCTGCTACCTCATAAAGCACCAACAGTAGACTGTGCAACATTTACAGGAAAGGGTGGGAAACTAAAGTCAGAGCTGAGGTAAAGTTCTGTTTGCTGGAAGGAGGAAAGAGGTAGTGAAAATCAAACATTGCCTACTCTGCCTCACACTGGGAGAGATTCATAGCCTTTTGGCACCTTGCATATTTCATCTTTCATGAATGCCATATTTATTCTGAATAAAGGCTACTTTCATGTTGAAATTTAACAGCTTAAAATAGAACCCATACTTTGGTCTCACCATTTCATATTAACTGTGGTCTGGATATAGAATATACTCCAGGCATATTCATAGTTCAAATAGATGCCTTTCCTAGGTAACATTATCTATTTACTTTCAACTCTATCAGCTTGTACTCCAGATGTTTTTATTTGAACAGTAGTGATTAAAGTCATTCTAAAAAGTAAAAATGGCATATTATTTTATTTGTTACTGGCAATGAAATTCTGAGGTACTACCCAATAACGAGAAAGCAAACATCATACCAGTCAAGATTAGTAACTTTATTACTGAACATAAAGTGTTGACAGGTCCAGAGGAGATATACTCTCTGTTACTTAAAAAATTGGGCAAGATACACATAAGGGGTCCAAGAAATCACTCTGAAGGACTCCTGAAAGTGGTCTGTATAAGCCAGAGTATTACCTAAAAAAGTATTTTAAAAATATATTTAAGTAAAAAAAAAAAGAAAAGGTATCCTAAAGCGTCATTAGCTTATCTGGCATATTTAGGTTGAGTTTAAAATTCAGTAAAAGTAAAATTACAATGAACTGAGCACTGGAGGAGGGAAGGGAAGGGAAGGGAAAGGAAGACCCCATGGCAGGGAAATGAGAATAGAGTGGTGGTACAGTTGAGCTTTTATGACTTATTACCAGACAGAAACTTATCCCAAACTTTATGGTTAAAATGGTTCCTTAGTCATGTTAATAACGATTAGAAAAGGAGAAAAAAGGGAGTTGTAAAGAGAAGGACAGTATAGTAGATGGAATAACATTTTATTTCCAATGCAGTCTTGGGAGAAAGAATGCCAAGATCTCGGTCCATTATGCCTGGAGTTCATAATTGAACTTCTCTCCAATGACTGAAGATTGTGCCATGTCTCTAATAGTTAATACCTCTGGCTGAAAGACAGTTGGTAATTACTTCGGTAATTCACCTCTGTTGTCAACTGAGGATATACAAGAGAGGGACATTTGTTCTTTCAAAGAATGTTTACTACTTTGACTCCAGCCTGTCCCTGATGCAACATGTTATATTAAGCCTTCTATTATAATTAGCATATTGCTTCCAACTTTTTTCTTGCTGCTCATGTTTTAGTTTATTAATCTTCTTATATGTGCTTTTGACGTAAGCCAGTACAATTCATACTGAAGAGAAGTGAGGTATAATAAATTCAATAAAATATGTTAGTATGCTCATAGACTGTTGACATACAACAAATTTTTTCAAGAATGGAGAAAATCTTGAAGTATACACTATATAATGTTGACATACATTAGAAGTCATAGTCATAGTCACAGTCATATTCCATTAGTCAGGTACCAGCTTAAAGTGATAAATACTCTGTTCAACATTTCTCTTATTCTCTCTTATTCCTGGCCTATGCCTATAAAGCCCAATCTTTTATTATATTTCTCTAATGGTACTATTCATTTGTACAGGACTAAACATGGGAAAAAACATATTTTCTCATCACTTGCTTTCCCTACAAAGCCCAGTTAAATGAGATTTATAATTAAATCACAGTATTATTAAACTTAGAGCTGGAAAACAAAAGTAGATAGATTACTAACTTATTTTCTTCATTTAACATTTGAGGAAATTAAGGCAAAGAGGTCAAATAGCTTACTCAATACTAGGTAGCTAGTCAATGGAAGAACTAGGACTGGAACCCAGGTCTCTCAATTTTTAGGTTAAGAAAAATTTAAGTTCATTGAATTTGTGCTAACTCACACTTTTTTTTTCTATTAGGCAGAGATCAACATGGCAGAATGAGATTAAAATCTCACAGCCATTTCATTTGAGATTTCATAAAACTAAACAAACTACTTCTGGGAGATATAGATTGTGTTAGGGTTGGGCCAGTGCCCAATGCTTAACATTGCTATCAGTGTTCCTGATGAAATCAGTGGACTAGCTTTGTCAAGGCTGACGAAACAGGGAAGAGACATCATGAGCACCTTGGGAGACCAAATGAGTTAATGGTGATAAATTTGAAAAGGGCTCTTAATGTTTAAAAGTGGAAGGAAGATCATGGAGCAACTGTGCTGCTCCTTAAGGAGCTAAAGATAAAAAAGCTACTGTATAAGAAAACTGACCAGACAAATAGAAATGAAATCTGACTTCTTGTGCATGAAGAATTATTATACAAAGAAAGACCACTTGTGTTCTGTCACTAGATAGCAAACAGAAACAAAAAAATGAACTCAAGCTTTAGGATATAGGAATTGGATTAGACATAAGGAAGAATTACTTAAATCAGCAACTAATTAAACTAAGATGAAATCCTAGAAGGAGATGAGACTCTCCATCAAGTTTAATTACCATTTCTTCAGAATGCTTTAAGTATGGTTATATCTAAAGGAAAGAAAATCTCTTATGATCATATCTATTCATAGGATTATTGGAAAATTTGAGCTATTGGCAATCAGGAATAAACCCTTTTTAAAATATTTAATCTCTTCAGTTAGAAAAAATCATCTGTACTTAAAAAAGAATTAAAAAATCATTCGATGATCTTAATAATAAAAAAATGTATTTTTAGAAACAGCATACTCAATAATTTTAAAGGTAGAACATACTAATAAAATGTCATATAATATTAAAGATGGAAGATAACTTAGAAAAGAAATAACTTAGTGCCCTTCTTTGTTTTATACAATATGAAAGTCCAAGGATTTTATGTGTTTGGTTTACAGTCAATATTTAGTTATCAATTGAGTTATCTCTATAACCTCAAATTCCCATAGGCCAGCTCAGTAGTCATTCTACTAAACAAACTTGCCTCTAGTACTTCACATTCAATTTTAAATACAGTGTCATCTTATAAGGATTGTAAAAGAAAATCCATTGATAGAATTACACTAATATGGAGGAAAGAACTAGTGTTTCTCAAAGGTGTTGTGGGTGTAAATACATCTTCATTGGGTAGAATTCTTCACACTGTAGAATTTCAGCATCCACATCCCTGACCACTAAAAGGGCTATAGCATTTCCAAGTCATTATGACAACCAAAAATGCCATCACATTTCCAAATGACCTATAATGGAGCACAGCGAACTCTATAGAGAACTGGCTCTATAGGCCTACTTGGTCAGAACACAAGAACTACTTTTAGTGACAGTTACCTGAATTATATATATTTAAAAATCTAAGAACACTCATTATTTTTAGGGATACGATTACAGAGTAAAAATAAACTGACAGCAACTGTCACATACTCACTCTTAACTTGGGGGGCTTGATTTTATTAAGCTATTTGCATTTCTTATATATTCTAAGAATGTCAGCAACAAGCTCAATCCTGCAATACAACTAAATCCACCTAAGGGTAGTGGTCCTAAAGAGTTTAATTTGAACATAATAACTAAAACAAACACTTAGCTTAAACAAAAGCTGTTGCTTACTCCAATTTAAAAAGTTATAGTGTGAATGAATGTGTGTATGGGGTTTATTTAAAAATACTTACAAGATCCAGTGCTGAACCACCACCCAGGTATTCCATTATTATCCATAATTTTGAACCCTGCAAAAGCCATAAAACAATTTATAATTACAAACCTGAGCCAAATAACATAACTAGTATAAATACTAAATCTGATATATTAATGCACTGGTTTCAAAATAGAAGTTTAAAATTAAGTGTTTGGGACCCTGAATATATTTTTCCATAGAACATTCAAAAGAAAGTAAAGTTTGGATAATTGACTATCTCCCAAAATTATTTAGCTTATGATATAGCTAAAAATAGCTAATTATTATTTCTTATTTTAGTACTAGTAATTTTTATAAAACCCATAATAAATAAACCATAGCTTTAAATCATTATTTTGAATAATAATATTAAAAGAAAAAGAAGATATATTAAAGAATAAGTAAGTCGATGAAAACTTGCAGAAATCTGAATGAGGCTTCTGGATGTTTTCCTGTGATTTTAGAGTTTGAGGACACTGGTATATTCTGCTTTTTTTAGTTTTTGACTTTCTTTTAATGTACTTTACAACTTTATTAGCCACAATTAACAAGCATTTTTGGTATACACATGGAATCTGGGAAGAATACTGTCCCCTACCTATCTTCACTGTAAGTTGTATAAGAGTAAATGGGGTATAAGAGCATAAGGGGAATACCAGTATGTCAATTCCAAAACAGTTTTGCATAAACACATACACATATATCACTCAGTTCTATCAGCTAAAATATCTTTTCATACTATTTCATGAGTGGTATTCCCTGAATTTTTGTGGGACTACAGAGTTGACTGTAAGATAAATGGTTGATTTTACTATGTGGGCAAAAAGGAAGTTGTGAATGGATTGTGTTTCAAAAGTACACTTTTAAGTAAGATATTTGAAATTTGGAAAGCAAGAATTTTCCCATAAAAACAATGTCTATTTTCCTGGGGTAGTCCCCTAAAAGACAATTTAATGCAAAGTTATCCATAGTACAGCAGGAAGAATAACAGAGAAACTAATTACTATTTATACTATAAAAATGTTTCTAGGGAAAAAAATATGTTCAGTGTTGTGTTTCAACTTGGGATGCTAGGAACACCCTTCTCACCTTTACAGCCCCAGCTGTGGGATGAAAATTTTTAAGGTATTGTCAATAGCTTGAAATCCCTGGGATTTCTATTCTAAAAATTCTAAAATCCCTGGGAAGTACCTAGGACTTTCATTCAAAAGGTCCAAGTATCATGAAGCTGGAGTTTTAGCATGGCAGAGAATGGAATCCAGTTACATGCTGATAAATGTTTAGGTGACATTGTAGTGCGGGAAATGGGATGTGGCCTAGGATTAGGAACCAGGGAGAGAGGGCTCTGTTAATTTAATATGAAAGGATTCTTCCTTTCTTTCTTGATGCTGACACTACCTGGAATGTATAAGAGAAAGAGAGGAACAATGTGGTCCTCCTCCAATCTTGACATCTACACTCTCCTGTCACAACAGGCCAGCTTGAGAGTCTTTCCTAGCAGCAGTGTCTATAAAAGGAAAGAGGAAACAATTTCCCATTATGGTGGAAAGGGGAGAGGAGTTCTGCAATTGGGTCATATAATTTATTTTTATGTATATAAACTAAGTACTCTGAACCTTAGAATTATAAATCTGGTGTGTATTTATATTCTTTTATGGAGATTTCTCACAATGCAGTATAACCTGAGAATGTTTTTCTTTTGCACAAGTTTGATTCTAATAACTACTATATATTTTTACAGGTTTTAATTAGCCCTAACTGGTATGGCTCAGTTGGTTGGGTACTGTCATGCAAAGTGAAAGGTCACTGATATATTCCATTTCTGGTCAGGGCACATGCCTAGGTTGCAGGTTTGATCCTCAGTGGGGGCACGTAGGGAAGGCAGATGATCAACACGGAGAGAAACATTGATTGGCTGCCTTCTGTATGTGCCCCAATTAGGGACTGAACCCACAGCCCAGGTATATGCCTTGACCAGGAATCGAACTAGCGTCCTTTTGTTTTGCAGGACAATGCCCAATCAACTGAGCCACATTGGTGAGGGCAGTACTATGTTCTACCTTATGAATTCAGAATGCTTCCCATTCACCTGAAATTGAAAAATAAAAATATCTTATACAACATGTTTATCCAGTTTTCAGTTCTGCGTGATTGAAAACACCAGTTTTCCAAGTTAAAAACAATGTGTGTGTATGGGAGGGTACCAATTCAAAACAGAACCTTACCAACTGTCTGTTCTTTGCTAAATAATATTCATAGAAAGCTTAAAATGTGATTAAAGTTATGACCAAACAACTTTTATATATGAAAAGATATATAACAAGCAAGATACATAACAAGAAAGATATATAAGTTTCTGATAACAAGCAAGGTTTTTTTTTTTTTTCAGTTAAACTGTGACTCTTTTGAGACAGGCAAAGAACAAAACTGCCTAATAGCTTTTCTGTGTACTTCCTTCTGACCACCACTTCCAGAGACAAGCTTCACTGAAGGATAGGTACAGCTATGGACATTCAAAAGATTGCTAGGCAGGCATGAGGGCTGAAGCCAAGACCTGAGTGGGCATAAGTGTAAATGGCAAGCTGGTGGGGTTCCTCCCTGTTCAAGGAAGCTAAAGCCACAAAAGCTCTTCTTACCAGTTCCTTGACCACAGCAAGGCTCAATGAAAACACTAATCACAAGTAAACAAAACAAAAAAATCTAGATCCTATATTTGCATTCTTTTGGGGGGACTTATACTTTTCATTTCTGGTAAAAGATGTTTGTGTTGGAGAATGCAAATAAGTATGTTAGGTTTCCTTTTAAATAATTTAAAAAGCTAAGATGGTATCTACATACTAGTTTACAATTCCAAAAGAGCCAAGTGGCTGGAAGCCATAACCCTACATCTGGAACATTTAAGCATCAGAAGTCCCTGAAGGGAAAACATCATTTCTCCACTTACAAAATGATCCACAAATTTTAACAATGGGCTGGAGGAATAACTTTAGAGTGCTGCATCAACATAGGTGGTCAGCTAAGGGTTAGGAAGTGGCTCTCTGTTCCAAAATTCTAGAGTAAATACTCTAGAATTGTATGTACTATTTACTGAGGAGAGATTGAGCTGGTTGTTGATAAATCACTGGTGTCTTGAGTGTCAATGCTCACCCCATAAGGCCTTTGAACCCCACTATTTTCTGTTAAAGTGGACACTTGGTCAAAGGAAAGAGAAATACTATAGAACTTGAGATTCATTTGTTCATAGAAAACATATTTAAAATACCCATTCTATGTATTTGAGAGATCACTATTAATATATCAAGTACACATTGAATGAAGTGGGCTGGTTGATAAATTCAATGGCCAATCATGACACTGACCACATAAATCTGTATGTAAATATAAGGAAAATAAGCCAACCACCAAAGGATGAATGTTGTATGGTTCCCTTTATATACAGAATGTAAGATAGTAAAATTCAGAGACAGAGAAAGTAGAATGGTGGCTACCAAAGACTGTGGTGAGGAAAGAATGAGCAGTTATTGTTTAATGTGTACAGCTTCAGTTGCGAAAGACTGAAAAGTTATGGAGATGGATGGTGGTGATAGTTTGTACACTTAAAATGGTTAAAATGGTAAATTTTATGATGTTTATTTTACTATAATAAAAATAGAATGTAAAATTTTATAAAACTACAAGTGATAATACAGATCATCTTGCCAGATACTTTACCACCTCTGAATCATTCTCTTCCCATCTAGAATGCCTTGTTTATACTCCACCTTCACATCTCAGCCTATATCAGAATGATATTCAAGAATTAGTTCAAATGCCACTTCCCCAGTTTCAGGGTCATTTCACTTTATGTACCCACAGATAAGTGAATAATATCAGGCAAATCAGATATCCCTATATCTAATTTGAGGCTAAAAAGAGAGGCTGGAACCAGAGACATGAACTTAGAAGTTGTCAGAATAAAGTGAATAAGACTGAACAGGGAAAACAAGCAAAATAAGAGGAATATGCACAATGTTGAATTAAATCATATGGGGTTTCTCAGAGGTATGTTACATGAATTTTAAAGCTATTCTTGTTTTGAGAAAAAAAAAAACATTGCATGGAGAAATTTTTCTTAAATTTTCTTCATGCTTTATAAGAAAAATCTTTTAAATTAAATAATATGCCAGAAACATTCATCAAATGCTGGAAGTATGCACACATAAGAGTGTCAGAAAAAATGAGAAGGCCACAAAATTGTACAGACCCTATTCTGGAACATTTTACTTAAATCATTCAATTTTTTTTTGGTAGTAGTATGTGGAGGAGGCATATTTCCTTAACATAAACAAAAATTTAAAGGCATTTTTCGACAGCAATAATGGCATGATTCAAATTCTATTAAATGCTTAGTGAGCTTTATTTTAATATTCACATTTAACTAGAAAAATATTCAAAGATTATAAAAGATTTTTCCAATATTATGAGATCAGAAAGGAAGAGTTTGCTTATTTTAGTACACTTTATAAAGACTAACTTTGTCTCTCAAGAAAATCTGTAGTGAATTAAAATTAAAGGAAAATACTGTGGTCATACTGATGTGTTTGTCTGGTTTTTGCTCTTGTTTTTAAAAATGAAGTTATACAGTGAACTCAGTCAAAATGAATACCTAGTACATTTTTCATGTCTCAAGGAAACCATTACAACTGCATACAGTTCCACAGAGCATGTAATTTTCTCTCAAACGCAATAAATTTTCCTGCAGCATACAGTGAGGTCTTGGTTATATATGATATCCTGTATAAGGACAACCTAAGAAAATCCCATATTCTACTTTACTCAATTCATTTGACTCATAAATTCCCCATGTCATATGAAATGTAAGTATGGGTCACAATAAGAACACAAGGTGATTGATAATGCAATTCCTTAATGGCACTTAAAAGGTATAGTCTTTAATTACATTGGCTTCATGAAACAGAACACTGTTATATTTGATATGATTTTACTTTAAAAATTAAGGCAGAGAGAGAAAAGATGGCAGTGAGAGAGGTGGAACTGGAGTCCACTTCCCCC